CTAAGGCTTTCCTTTATGCACTTCACAATCTGTCCATTTTCTTGACAGATTCTATGGCCCTTGCCTTTGTGACCAGTGGTTCTAAATATTGCATATACATTGCATATTGCATATACACATTTCAAGTGCTTTGAGTAGTCCCTTATTCATTCCTGCTTTTTGAACTGTTGATTCTGTCATATTCATTTTACCTATTGGCATATTTTTCAGCACTGCAATGTCTACTATGTGGACTTTGGAAAATGTGAGCTACTGCCAAAAGAGAATATCTATATTCTTCCTGCTCAATTTGCATTACTGCCAGTGCAAGGAGTACGATGTGGTCTTGAGGGAACACAGAGGCCAGATCTTGAATTTGACGGTAGTTGTCGAGATGAATTTTCAAGACTTGTTACCTCCAAAACCCTTCAAATTGTGGCCCGGTGAGTTTTTTAAATCCTATATTTCTGACTGCTTGACTGCTTTGATCTACTCTATTTTTTTAAATTCACTTATTAAGTGTCTGCTGAAGGTGAGGAGGAAGGACTTGCAAAGTCTTGAGCAAATGAATTTGCATCTCACTATATGTAGAAACCTTTTTTGAAAATTATAGATGCAACGATAATGAATTCTTGCCAATATACTCAATATTTATATTGTAAAAAAAGAGGATCCTGATTCTAATATCTGTTTTCATGCAATCAAGCCTTAAGAATGTATTTCATTGATGACATTCATAAATACATCATTTACATCATGAGAACCATTGTGTTTATTGTAGTTATAGGTGAGTGGATGCCACAAAAAGTAAGAGATCCTACAAATTCCATAAGGAGTAAAAAAAGAATTTAAAAAAGCTGCTTTTGAAAGATTCATAATTGCAGAAAAAGAAATCATAGCCCTCCAATAAAAGAATGCCATAAGCGGGCAATGGAAGTTCATGAGCATGCTGGAGGGAGGAAGGGTTGGCCACTGAAAAGAGACTAATCCTTTGCACATACACCAGGAGCAGCATGTGGAGATGCAAACTGTGGCCTCTGCTTTGCAGCCATCCTACTTACATTTTGTATGTGTTCTTGCCTGATGAAAACATGTCATTCAAGCATGTCTGTCCTTATAAGAAAGATGAGTGAGTCATCACTTGCTATGCATGCTTAGCATTTGGCATGCTTCAGGTATCCTTCCAACATTGGTAATTGGCAGAACATGTTGTATTGGGATGTTAAATCTGATTCACCCAATATTGACTGATACTGATGACCAATAAAATGTTGCAACTCTACTTGAAACACTACAGACTTAATCTAAAGTTGAATAAAAAGAAATTTTCAGTGGGGGATAAAAAAAAAATGAAAGGCAACCTTATCCTTGAACCCTTCTTACTGCCTATCCTATTCTGAGAAATACTGTATTAAGAATTTCTGCTCCCTTTTCAAATTCATTTATGACATTCATTCAATCATATACATTATTGTATGGTGCAGCTCCAAGACCCAAGGGAGGTTCATGGTGGAGCTCTTTGTCAATGGGCATAATGCTCTGGAGTTGCTTGCGAAGATGGGACTTGTACGAAACACTTCTCCAGGCATGCAGATCGTTCCAAAGCTTTCTGTATCACCTGGGAAGAGCTATGAAGTCATGGTTTCCTATGTTGACAATCCCTTGAAGTTCTTTGTGAATCTCCAGGAGAACATCAGTGCCATTGAGTCCATGATGGAAAATATTGGTGATATCTATCATTCTAGTCCACCTGCATTAATCACCACCTCTCAGGTGAGGTCATGATTTTTTAAGTTGAATTTTTCATTTATTTTATGCAAGTTCTGGATCCTGTCATCTGTCTAGTCAGCCAGTTGTACCCAAACTATTTCTTGTTTATATAGGTGTGCCCTGGAATGCCATGTGCAGCAAAATATACTGATGGGGAGTGGTATCGTGCTGAGATCATATCTCTCCCCATGGGTGAAACTATTCAGGTCAATTTTGTTGATTATGGGAATTCGGAGCCTGTCAATTTGAAGGATGTGCGTATGCTGAATCAGAATTTCATTGATCTTATGCCTGGTCAGGCCATCCGTTGCTCACTCTATGTAAGTGTCATGTTCTCGTTTCAGAGATACCTTTTCCAATACAGTAAAAAGCTCTATCATGAATCTTATGTTTGTTGCAATAATCTTTTTTTAAGGGGGTGAATCCTGAAGACAAAAACCAGTTCACAGCTGCAACAGCTGACAAGATTCTCAGAATGAAAGTGCTGGGTGTTCAAGATGGATGTTCTGTTGTTGAACTTACTGACACAGCCAGTGGAAAGCCAGTGCCAGTCAGTCCCTCCATATCCTTCCCCATTGGCATTTCTTATATTTTCCTGAGCATTTCTTTTGAAGCTGGACTGTTCTTTTTCAGACTCTGATGTTAGAAAATAAGAAGCTCATGGAAGTCCCATCTCCAAACTTGGAGAAGAGAGAGCAAATATTTGTCCTCACATTTGATTCTGCACTCAATTTCTTTGGACAGCTTTGCAAAGTTCCTGTGGAAGACCTTACAAACTTGCAAGAATGTATACAAGCTTTTTATGCCCAGTAAGTATGGTTCTCCTCTTCCTCTTTTATTCATACCCAAGATATGCCTAGCATCAGTTCAGGCACCAACCTGTACCTATCTGGTTTTTTCAAATCAAGGGCATTGTGTGCAATAGACTTGTCTTTTGTATGCTGCTTTTAGTGGTGCCCCATGACATTAAGTTCACCAAGTAACAATGGCTTCCAGTTTGATTAGATCAGGTATTTAATTTTCTAATTAAAAAATCTCTTGAATGGATTCTACAGGATGTCCTGCTTGAAAGTAGACTAGCAAGTAATTACATATTGTTTCCTGTTGGAGGCTGTCTCTTGTGATAGTTGTGATAGTTTGTTAGGGTAACTTAAAGATGCCTGCAGTCATGACACATTTGGTAGCAGGTTAGGTGGTAGGGGTCAGTCGAGCTGCGAAAGCTTCCAGAACAGTACGCATTTGTGTTTCTCGAAGTAAGAAGTCAGTGTTGTGAGCAATGTAGTTTTCTTCACATCATTGTTTATTTATTGTTGAAGTTACTTTAAAAGCAAATCTTACAAGATTTGTTTTTAAAAGTTTGCAGAGAAATATGCCAATGCAAAAGCAAACTTTGACAGTGGTTTTGTAGGTAGTCATTTGTAAGCCTTTCTGTGACGTGTTGTCCTTGGAACCCTGGGCCATTGAGTCAATCAATCAATTTACAGGGGATGTCCTCGATTCTGACATCACGTACAGTTTCCTCATTCTGCACAGTTCAAACACAAGTTGGTGTCCTATCCCCTATGAAACCTGTTTCTTGTCACTTTGCCACAAACTTCTGTATGGCATGTTTTGCTGGCACTTTCACATCTGTTCTCTGCAAACAATTTGCAACAAACCTTGCAAGAATTGCTTTAAAAGTAACTTTTGCTGTTGTAATGAAACTGCATTGCTCACAACTCTGACTGCTTACTTCGAGAAGCACAAATGCATACCGATCTGGAAGCTTTCACGGCTTGACTGACCCCTACTACCCAACCTGTCACTACATGTGCCATGACCACATGTGTCTTTAAGCCTCACCTGCGGTACCACAACAAACTATTGCAACTATGGTGAAAGACAGCATCTAACAGGAAACAATACAGAATTACTTTCTAGGCTTCTTTCAAGTGGATCACCCTGTATCTAGTCACTGTAAAAATGGATAAGGCCTGGGAGACCAAAATGAGTTTGGTCTCCCAGGCTCCCAACCAAAAGTTCATATAAATATTGCCATTGGAAAAGGAACACAAACCAAGTACATCTACCAAAGTACAATAATGTTCAAATTACAGTAGGTAGTCACAACATGTGGTCATTCCATTCATAGAATACTTACTATGCCTATTTGGAGAAGGAACCATGTGCTGATTAAAATGTATTAAGTGATCACTCAATTAATTTCCTATTTGTTATTAAGTATTACTTTTTAATCATTAACCATTAAAATAATATACATTATTTAATGACATTATATGTATGTTTATTTTCTTATGCAAAAGACTGCAATTGACTCTTGTCTGGTTTTCCTATATCCCATCTGTCCATGTCCTGTATTTCTAATACCTTTATATTACAGCCTCCAGCCTGGGGAGAAGCTATTGTGTGTGAACTCAAATGAGGATTATACTGGTCGTTATGGTGTTGCCCGTTATTCTGCTGATGGCTTGCTGTACCGTTGTCGTGTTGTGAAGAAGACTGGCCCAAATGTGGAAGTAATTTTTGTGGACTATGGAAATCAAGAAGTGGTGCACCATTCAGAAGTATTCACATTGGAGCACGAGTTTGCTACCCTTCCTGCTTGTGGTATCTTCTGCTCTTGGAGTTCCCCTCCTTTGCCTGATGCTCAGTTGAAGCCTCTTATTTTGGAACAAACCATTGAGGTACATCTTCCCTTATGATACATGAGTAGGTTTCCAAGTACTAGATGTTTCAAAAGTTGCTTCCAGTGTTTATGCACCCATGGAGAGCATGCTGTTGAACATAGAAGTACCAAACTCACTATGTGAATCAATCTGACAACAGGGAAGGGAATACACTCGTTTGTAATGCCAAAGGAAAGCATTAATAGATGTTCAATGCAGTTTCCATTAGTCGTAAAACCCCAAAGCCCCAAGACTGCTGGGTCAAGCAATCTTGCAGACTAAGATCAAAGTTAAAAGGTTTAGAGTGTCATAATGGTTCAAGGGGTCAGGTGATCACACAGTCTCTGAAAGTGACCCAGAGAATGATTCACATATTTGCAATGTGGGCTGGAGCACCATCTTGCATGAAGACTGCTCAACCATTTATCAACTCATTGAAATCTGTTTCAGGTTTTGTGACAATGGCTTTTATACCGGGTTTTGCTCATAGATAGTCTCCCTTCCACAGCCTAAACTATAAGAACTAAGGAAAAAAACTCACATATCATAAGAAAGAGCATTCATTTTCGAATCTAACATATACTTCTAATAATTTGTGTGCACCCTGGTTATGTCCCTGACAGCTTTAAGACAAGCAGGGTAAGATGAAAAGAGGCACTGAAAGAGTTCAGTGTCATCTTCCATCTCCAACACTCTGGTGATGATGCTTTGCAGGGCTTCTTGGGAGAATTCATGCTGCTTGCCCTCCATATGTATGGGAGCCTCAACTTGATCTTTTGGGATAACACCAATGTTCTCAGCCACATTCAGATCAGGAGAGATTCCTGGCCATTCTGCATTTCCAAAAAATTAAATCCCTGAGTCTTTAACCCTCAACTACTCGTGCCCTGTCTCATGTCATAACTACTCGCACGGTGTACTTTATACACCAGTGTATGTAGACATATATGTTTATGTATGTCATATGTTTATGTATGTCATATGTTTATGTATGTCATATGTTTATGTATGTCATATGTTTATGTATGTCATATGTTTATGTATATAGACAGTATTTATTCAGTAATATGGTATGAAATTGCATACAAACCCAGCCAGTTCTGCTCTAGTTACTTTCGTCCGTTGTAGGATGTGCACATGTATCACATTTCACATCAGTTTTTGAATGTTCTTTGCAGACAAAGTCAAAGGCGGATGCTGCCTGTACGATCACGTAAACAGATAGGGGACGAAAATAACTGCGAATGGTGTACGAAATACACCAGTGCGAGTAATTAAGGGTTAATATGATGCAGTCAGAGTTAAAAAAAATTACCACACATGACTTGTATACCTTGGCTTCTGTACACTATCATGAGAACAGGAGGAGCTTTGTCATGAAACAGCTCAGGCTATAGCCTCATATCCAATTCTGTCACACAGGACAAAGTTGCATCCAACGCAATCAATCCACCCAGTCAAGGCAAGTTTGAAAATAAAAGCAGCCATAGGGGGAAATGAAAGAGAGGGTACAAATGCAGGTAACCCCCCCAGAAGATCCAATATGGTTCTACAATGAACAAGACATCAGCCTAGGGGTAAGGAACACAATATGATGAGTAGACACTTTTAGAGACAGATGAGTCGATGAATAGGTGAATATGGTAGAGTGATAAGGAATGAATTAAGACATTACCTGGATGAGTTCATCAACATCCTGGACATTTCCTGGCATATCAGAAAGCAAGTTGAAGATTTGGGCTGAATTCTCCAAGCCTTTCAGTTGCTCTTCTGTAAGAATATAACAGATGATCACATGACAGCATTGCAGAATGATCTCATAACTCACATTCACACCCATGCACTGACTCTAAATTTAGTATACTCCTGTCTTTTGCCAAGGTCTCTAAGTTAATAAAGCTTCATCAGTATCAGTTGAGTACTTCCATGGATTTGAAAAAGTAAACTTGCTTTTCTGGAAATCTAACCTAAAGATTGCCTTGGAGTACTACTGAAGCAATTTTAGCATATGAGGCTGGACTCATCTTGTTCCAAAAGGAGTGCCTCTTAGGGGTCTTAGGCACTGACACAGTACAAGAAGCAATCAATATCTGAACAAAAAAAATAGTTATTTCTATTTTCACAAACAAGGTACCATCAGGCTCACCTCAATTGAAACTGATTGCAATTGAAAAAAAAAGTAGCAGTTCAAAAATCCTTCTCAATGGTGTGCCTTGTGGAGGTTTCAAACATTGACTTAAACTCTAAGGTCTAATTAAAAAGTACTTAAATCCAAAGCATGAAGACTAAAACAAAGTTAATAACTACAGGGCTCATTTTGAACCATATAATGCTGTTGGACTCATGCCATTTAGGGTAGTAGTCTCCTGGGGTAATCCTAAATACTGATTTGAAATGGAGAGTAGAACTTCAAATGTTAATTCTTATGCTGAAGTCTCATTTCCTTGCTTCTATAGGCATGATCCCACATGATTCTTTCTCTGCATTTTTTTACTGAAAGGTTTTGACTTTCTCATCACTCTTGGGATGCAGAACCTTGCCATCTAATCAGCAAGGCCAAGTAATGAGCCAAACACAAGAGAGGCATAAAACAAGAAATAACAAAGATATTTGGAACTGCATTATATAGAAAATAATCTTTCATTCTACTCACCATGTAACTTCAGCATTGCCAAAGTGGCCTGGAAGAGGAAGAGGGAGCCATCACAGAAGAAGATATCCCAAAGACGAAGGAGGACACGGATATGCACAGTGGATGAGAAGAGGGTGAGGAACCAGTTCAATGTTATTAGAGACAGCTCAATATCATGTTCATTCAGTACTGCATCTGTTACAGGGAGGTAGCTTCCAACTAGTTCTCTCAGGACTTCTTGGTCTGCCTGGATGCCTGCAATGCCATTAAACATAGGCTAAAATATGAAAAATATGGAGGAAAATGAAATATTTAATATCAAATAACAAAGTTGGTCACTTTAAAGCGATAATGACCACTGAGCTTCAGTCAGATTGAAACTGGCAACGGTCTCAGGCAATGGAGAAAATTCAGTTTTTTCATACCATTCATAACACTGGGACCACATCAGATTTCAATCTTGGTGAAGAAATGACTCAAACAAGGATTAGAAGCAATTAACAACAAAACAACATTATACAATAATATTCCCATTATAAAAAGGAAAAGATTTGGAAATTTGAAGAAAAAATATATTGGCTGGGTGATTATTATGATATGCATTACTGTTAATTATTGTTATGAGGAGTGTCCAAAAAGTTTCTGGAAACATCTAATAAAAACTAAACCATCGTTACCATCACTACCAAAACTGGTACACAGAAACAACATATCTCCCTTAATCTTTAAAATCATCACTGTTTGAGTTTATGCACTTCTGCCATCTGGAGAGCAACAATTGTACACCCCTTCTGTAGAAGCTTGTTTCTTTTTGTTGCAGCCATGGTCTTGCAGCAATTTTGAAGATCCTTGCCACTGCCATGAAGCATAATCCACAAAGTTGGTCATTTAACTGGCCAAACTGATGATAGTCAGTGGGGTCTATGTCTGGGCTATATGATGGGTAGCTGACAAAAGTCCACAGAAATTTGGCAATAACTTGCTCTGCTTTCAATACCAGTGACAGGACAATACAGGGTTCTACAGTCATTGCCCTGCAGATGGCAGAAGTACATAGATTAAAGCAGTGATTAAATTCTGAGGGCTAAGGAAGATATTATGTTTCTGGAAACAGGTTTTTGTAGCAATGAAACAATGGCTTAATTTTTTTTTATGCTTCCAGATACTTTTTGCACATGCCTCTTATATGCATTACACATGCTAATGATACACCTAGATTGTGAAACTCAAGAACTCCATGCATAGATGCATGGACATTGTAATGGGAATAACTGCTTCAGAAGAAGAAAGGATCAAATGCTCCTTCTCTCACTTCCTACTCCCTATCTCTGTGAATGTACTCACCTGCAAGAGTTGAAGAATAGTAGGAAGCTGGAAGAAGATCTTCAATGATGGAACACATCATCCAGAAGGCATCAGCCTCTTCCAGGAAGAGAAGGAGGCTTGCCACAATTACTCCTGTGCCCTGGCAGTACCTGAAAAAAAATCATGGTTTAAAGGTCTTTTCTTTCACAAGACAGATGTGTCAACTATCTGAAATGTTCAGTCTTCCATCTTGTTTTAAACTTCTCAAAGTGATGAGAAATGACTGGTTGAATTTATGCATTGATTTGCTCCATCACTCAAATGACAATTTGAGCGCACAAATGTAGGGGAACAGGTCAATAGTGAGCATATTCAATTCAACATGCATTGAATCAGCAGGTAATTGCAAATTCATTCCATACATTCCATCAATTCATTCAATCTTTCTGCCATTGTTAAGATCAAAGCTTTCATGGTTACTTCCTGGATATACAGCACATGAGATAGCTTCATCAATGGACTTATTTTTGCTGAGATGTCCCACATGTTTGCTTTAACCAAATTGTTCATATATGTTCAGTTATAGAAAGAAAAACAATGCCCTTAATACTAACAACAAAAATAATAAAAATTATAATAAACAATATAGGTTCCATAGACTTTGGGAGGAACCAAACTTCAGCTCACAAAACCTCATTTTTCACCAACAGAGAACCAGAGGTGGCATTTCTTCACTCACCCAATATGAGGATAAAGCCATGCCAGGGCACGAAGGACACGTCTCAGTGGAGGAATCCCAGGACTGTCCAAGCGACTGAAACAGGCATTGGCTGGAAGAGTTCGCAGGAGATCCTTCTCAATGTGCTTGGCTGATAACACATGATCATTGCTGCTTGCTTTCACCAAATCCTCATAGCTGGTATCTGAGTTCTGCTTTTTCACCAATGCTCCTGAAGGGAGTGACACAACATGCAAGTACTATGATCATCTTGAAGCATAGCCACAAAAGCAAAGGCTGAAATACAACTGCCATTGGGAATACAAATAAGCATAAGGATATAAAAGGCTCATACAAAAAATTGTGAATGGAATTCCTTGACTTTTACCATTTCCTAGGTAGTAAAATACCTACACTCTAGATCACCATCTCCACTTTCTTTAATTTTTTCAACTTCCCCTCTGTGTTTCACTCTAAAAGGGCACTGACAGACTAAATCAAGACAAATAAATTGATTGATCTCCTTTTTAAGTTGTCCAAAGTTGAACTGTTCAATACAAATGCCATCTTCATCACTCACAACTCCCTTTCTCCCATTTCTCTGTTTACATGGATTCACCTCTTTTTTTTTTGTCCACTTGCCACTGCTGTGGCATGTTAACAGACTTCAGAGCTCCTTCCCTCCCATACTACTGTCAGAAATGTGACACTTATCAAAAATTGTTAACACCCAAGAAAATCATCTCTTGAATGCAGTGTAGGTAGGTCTTTTTGTAGGAAAAGAGAATAAGTTGTTTATATCAAGGAAGATGAAACAGTTAATTTCTTCCTCTGAGATTTCATTTCTAAAGTATTGTCCAAGATGCCTAGAATACTATGCTAAGAGAAAATAAGCATAAATTTTCACAGGATAATTTTCCTCATGAAGCCAAAGTTCATCATGTTTTTCACTAAGGTAACTTAAAAGGTAACTTAGAAATTTCAAAAGGCACTGTATTCAATGGCACTTCAAACTTCAAGGAGAAAAAAGAAGCAAGAGGTCCAACTTGACCCCACACTAGCACTGGTGAAAGACAAAACATGGGTGAGGAACAAATAGAACTGAAGATGAATTTCTTTCATCTTGCATGTCTTTACTTCACAATTAAATTCCATTCTCAGTGAAAGTGTTCACAAGGCCTACAGAAGAAAATAGATGGGTTTAATCCTTTGGTGTCAAATTATATCAAATATGGTGGAATTGTCAATCTGAGTTTTTTCCATCTCTCATCTAAAAATGTTTAACTTAGCAACTATCCAACCTTGAGTTTTGAGGCTTAGAATAAATTGAATTGAATAGAATATTTTGAATGGGCGAATCGAAATATTTGAAATCCTGGGCATGGGATGAGCGGCAAACATTGGGCCAGCATGAGATAACTTGGGTATGGACACCAAAGGGTTAAAAGAACTACTTTATCCCACAGCTACCCATAGAATGACTTACTCAATTGGGTGCTGCTACTGAATGAATGAAGCTAAAAATAATAATAGAAGCCTAAGTAGAAGTCTGGATTCTATTCTTTTAGAATGCAGTTTAGTTTTTAGAATGCAATATTCATGTTGCTGTGGGCAGGATGGATGATATTGTTTGCTTGCCATATAGCACTTACCTTTGCCACCAATTACTTTGGATGTTCATCTGATGAAGGCTAAAATATTTGAATGCATCCAGATCTCCCTTTGCCGGTTGCTAATTCCTCAGATTGCTGTTTTCTACTAGCATTTCCATGACATGTTATACTGAGATGAGATGTACTCTTTTCAGTTTTTCATTTTTTTCAGTTTAAGGCTTGACACATGTTTGTTTGGCTTCTGCTTTGTTTTGCATAAGCATTCCATGTTTTGAAAACTTATGGTCAAGTTCATTCCGATTCCCATTAGTTTCCTTAGCATATCTAAATGTTCCAGGACCCTTGGGTTTCCTTTCAGCTCTCCTTCTCATATATGCATCTTGTTGGATCAACCTCAACTAAGTCATATGGGAATAAGGAGAGTCTTGAGATGTACACATACCCGAGAGACGAGGCCACACCTGAGGACGTACAGAGTGTGGGATCCCCTTGTGAACCATGGTGCGGAGTTTCTCTGTTTGAGTGAGCCGAGAATCCAAGCCATCCCAGGATAATTCCCCAACCACTGACCCCTCACATGCCTTTCCATGGGCAAATTCCAAGTATGCCAACCACTGCAACCTGCAGCATGATTTCACTCACATATCACAAGACTTCTACCCACATGCAGTGTTTACAAATGTGCCTTTGACTACCATGAATCAAAAGCATTACTGTGTTGGCAACCAGCAAACTTATATGTTGCACCAATGGAACCTTCCACTTCAGTAAGGACAAGGAGAGATTGAAAACAGTTCAGTCTATTTCTTTTGGCATGGAACAATGCTGGAAATTATGCTGATGTCAAATGCTGTCTGTTCTGTGCAGCCTCTAGATAAGAGAAAACCAGTTATGAATGGTATGTAGCCACAGGTATTCATCTGGCAGTCTGTCCATTGAGTGGCCTGTAGGCAAAACAAACGGCGATGTGTTGATGGAATTTAGCATCAACATGCAGCTGCTACACCAGGTATATGGCTACAACTGCTTGAATGTACATGGCACAGATGGTCATGGCAGTGTGAAGCCTAAATTTTTGCATGAGGGAGGGCAAAACATGAAAGTTTCCTCACCTGTGCTGGGGATCTTCTGTAAAGGGAGTGGAAAGTAACAGGTTAGAACTCTGCTCAGGGCCATCTTCCTCTTCTACACGAAACCCAAATTCGTCATACCTGATTTTGACAAACCATATGGAAGGCACAAATGAACCATGTCCTCTAATTAAAAAATATCACTGATTATATATTCAAATTTGGAGATAAAGTGAAAGCTATTTGCCACAATGCATGGAGATATAACATTTCTCTGAATCTGAAGAAATCTCAAGCACCTTCATGAGATGCAGGTTTTTTACATGAGTAAACAAACATGAATTTCTCAGATCTAGTGCATATACCCATGCCATCTTCTGAGGATTTATCTTTTATTTAAAGCATGTACCTATGAAGTTCACCTCATGCAATGTGTAAATTACTTCAGCCACAACAACATGCAGGATGTAATAACAGCAAATTTTGCAAAATGGTAAAAATTAGTTTATATTTGACTTTTCAAGGTGTATATGCATACAAGTTTATGTGCAATGATGATGTACTCTACAATTGTGTGCATATGTTATGATTAACCCTTTCACTCTTGAGGGTTGGTGACTGAGGTTATTTTGAGGTCTAGAAAAAATGCATAACTTTGGAACATAAAATGATAGAGACTTGCTCTTTACTTTAAAGTAGAAGTTTTCTAGTTTATCGTGTTAAATTATTTCAGCATCATAAAAATGTAATAGGACATATTATTATGTCCACTGTCATCTGATGGTAATTAGAACTGGACATACAATTATGTCCGTCAGATTGAAAGTGTTAAAGTCATGTATGCTGTTTCATTAAAACCTGTTATAAATTCAAAGCAATAAATCCAAATAATAAACCAACATTAATGGCTAAAAAAAACTTCAAGCAGCAAAACTGAGACACATGCACTAAGTCACAAAAGAGCAACAAAACCAACAATCTCTATAATTCCACATTGCAAAACATGGAATATTTGATGATAGCTCTATGGTGAAGCATTTATTGAAATTACCCTACACTTTCCCTAGCTTCACAAGACTACAACACCAGTGCAATGAAGATCCAGGCATTGCTGACCTGTATTCTGGCTGCTCCTCATTCTCATCTGAATGGAGATATGGCAGGAGATTTGGAGGGCGAATAGAAGAGAGGATTGCAGAAAAAGGACCTTGGTCCATACTACTGCCCTTCTCATCCACATCCCCCTGCCATAGCTCCTTCACACTCCCTCCATCACCTTTCTGGAAAAGGCTTTTCATTTCCTTTGATCAGTGCAAGATGTTTCCATTTACCACTGGCCTTCCAATCCCCATGATCTTCAGCGGATGGAAAACATCTTTCCCTAGCAAAATGCATGAAGTTAAATAAGGTGGTCATTCTTTCAATGACCAATACATACACCTTAAAACTAAAATTAAACAGAGACCTGATCTGAAGCAGTACCAAAGCCAGTACTCAATATCCACACAGAAGAATCCATTCATAAGGAACAGTGTTAAGCCTGTTCCTCTTCAAATATGGTTGTAAGAAATGTAGTCATAACCCAGACAAAAAAATACTTCACAATCATGTACTTTTTATAATCTCTTTGCTAATAAAAGAAGTATATAATGCACCTTTACTAAAGAGAAAAATTACTGGAAATTTCCTAAAAATGTAGCAAAATAAGGTAAAGTTGGAAGACCCCCTCAAAACCAAATATTCCCAAGTAAACAAAAGAAGCTGGGATAACCCTACAAGCATGCAACAATGGAAATGCAGCTGACATAAACCCTAAGGGCATTTTCAATCAAAAGGGGAATTCCATTCCTTTTTCATGGTAGCCCACTAGTACTCTTATTCACTAGAGGTCATTTTTTAGATATGAAAGAAAAAATTCAAATACTCATGTCCTTTGTTTTCAATGAGAAGAAAAAGGGATGAAGGTTATCACAAAATGAAATAAAAACTGTTGGGAACTTGAAATAATTTCCTCAAATCATCAGATAGAAATTATTTAAAAACCAATCAAACTGATGGTCAACACTTCTTCAATTGACAAAATGAAAAGAATATGCATTTCAGTAGGTTATAAATTTGCACCCAGAATTTCAACATTTGAAAGGCTTCAATTTTTACAGCAATAAAGTTGCTTTCAAATTTCAAAAAAGTTGGAAACAAATGGTTTTTTTTTTAAAGCTGTTTTAATCTTTTCTGTGGTTTTGTTGATATTTAAATATAAAAGAAATAGTTTCATTTCTATTTCTCTTCTTACTAAAAGACCATTTAAGTATAATATTGGATAAACCTCTCAATACACAAAGAGTACATGGTGGCATGATCAGCGTAAAACGTCTGAAAGTCAATTTTGAGAAACGTTAGGCCTAAGCCTACCACATCTGTCCCAATGCTTTATTGGCACTAGAGCATCACCTAATTTTATTATCAATCCTCCAGAAGATTTAGTAAAACTTAATAAGAGACTTCATATACCTTTCTTTGCGAGCAAGAACATAGTATTTTGCTTGATTTCTTACACCCTCAAGATGTATGTTACACCTTATTTCTTACACCTTCAGCTAAAAATCATCAATGAAATAGGCAGAAGCAGTCCTTGCTTCAAAGATACACAATGTATATGGTGTAGGCATAGACTGAGCATTCCTTGCTCATCACACAGACAGTTCTGTGTGAAGCCATACTTGAATAGAGTATAAATATAATTGTGCTGTCTGAGGGAAGGTTCAAATCAAGCATATTTTTGGGATTTTCCAGTTTGCCTACAAGAGTTGTTTTTTTTTTTTAAACATATAGTAAACCTTGAATAGAAGAATATTTCCTTTTGAATCACCTACTGCAGTCTGGTATCTTCCTAAACATAAAGTGCACCATATGAGAAACACACTCATCAAAAGTGCTAAATTATATTGACTGGAACCTCTGTCTTGAAGACAGCAAATTGCCAACAGGGGATGGCAAAACCATAGGCCACAACACCTCCAGAGTACTATATCCTTAAAACAACAGTCAGGCTTTTCTGTGAGATCATTAACATCAAGAAATGACTGACACTGCCAAGGGGTTCCCACACTATGACAGAATGGATCAAATATCAGGAAGAAGATAGAAAGAATGACTTTTCACATGCTTTTCTAGGAAGATACAATGCCAAGAGCATTTTAATTCTATCATGGAAAATGCCTTGGTGGGATATTTGTGACAACTCAATTCCTGAAATCAGACTCTCTTGCCCCCATCATCCTGACTTTTATGCTTTCAAAGCAAAGTAGTGATGAATTACTAATATATCCCCCATCAAAACTCTTAACCTTTTCCAGCCCAATGTGTACTTGCAATTCTTGGTCTGGTAATGATGAATAATAACTATCAATTTCATTTCAATTGCATCACTATCACTTCACAAGTGGTCAAGAATCCAATCCTCACTATAATAATGCACATGAATGATCAGTAACATGGAGTTTAAAAACTCACTGAATTACTGCAAATAAAATGTCATGTAAGGTTGGCTTCGATACAGGGCTGGAAAATGTTAGAACTTCCAGAAAAATGTCAAATCATCTTTCTTTTGCCCTTTTTTGGCATGAGGTGACCAAAAGATATCACTCTTATGCTTCTTGTTGATTTATTTGTTCATATGTCTAGTTTGAGATAGTCACACTCAGTGTAGTATTCCAAATAGTTATAAGGTGATAGAATGGAATGCATTCAACTTCTACCTCTGCAAGCTTATATAATGAATGCTTCATTATGGATTGAAGCTCCTTTTCCCTTCTGAAATGAACAAAGGGTGGGTGCTTTATTGGTAATAAAAAAAAAACATTAACACAATGCAATGGTGGACAAGAAGTGCCATTTAGGCACTTTTCATATCATCAAAACAAAAAAGCAACTAGAAAAGGGATTATCACAGGGTGCCCTTCGGAACAAAAGAATGATGAGAGAGACCAAAAGCTTGAGCAGTTGCAGATAGGGCTGACTCACTGACCCCTTCTCTTGCATGACAATGCTCCAACAGTCTCTTCAACACTGAAAACGTGGCATTGAATGGATATTATGCTATAGTCATCATTACAGGAAAACTAAAAATCGTTATTGAGGAACAATTTCATCCTGCAAGCCAGGGAGGAAACCATTCAGCTATGGAACATGTCATTCATGCAATGCAACAACTGAACTGCATTTGAGGATAGCAATATACTATTGGCAGAGCACTAGAGAGTGGAAATTAATAACAGTCCAGTTATACTCATACAAGGTAATGCCATGCCAAGCAAATGAACAGCAGACAAAAAGTTTGAGCTCATCCATCTATATTTCATGTTTACTATGCACAGACTCAGAAATACCTCCATAGTCACCCAATCTTCCCTTATTCCTCTATTCAAGGGCATGGGCATGGAAAACATCTACAAATGTATTAAATGCATTAGCAGGATATTTATGCTTACAAAATGGGACTGAACAAAAAAATGCCCACAAGTTTTATTCTCACAATGATAGACACTTTGTTGATATTCCTGCCATTTGCAGGCAACTTACATAATTTGGAGAAAATTAAATTGCCTCTTAAGTTCAGGTATGATTCAGGGAACTCAAAATTTTATCCACTACTCTATACCTGTGGTTGGGAACCACTGAAATATCTGTGTATCTGTGGTACCAAAAAATTCCTACAATCAACTACATTTTGCTCATTCATGACTCTGTGACCCATAAAGTTGTTAACTGATAGACAAGAATATAGAAGGAAAAATACTTTTTATGTCAACTCAAATCCCATGCAAACCAAACCAAAAAATCTACCCAGCAGTGGTTAAAGACCCATAGGTTAGGAATTGCTGCTGTATTTGACTCCACAATGAAGCAGAAACCACAGAAAGCTAAATGGAGTAGTTGTATGTACAGTTGACTCGTTTATCCAAACTTTTTTTTATCTAAATGCAATGCCAGTAATCTGACACTCCCATTATTTCAAACAGGAGGAATGGTCCCAGTATGAATCCCATAGAACTTACATTTAACTCCTATTTAATTTGAACACAATTACTCTGTAGCTCCTGTTCATGTGAATGAGTTCTCCAGCCCCTGGGTCATTTTCCAGCATTAATCTGGACTTGCTATCATATGAAGAGATAAAGTAAAACTGAAAAATTTGTGTTCCCACTTTTCTTCTCATGTCTCTACTTCCCCTCATTGCAATTTGAAAGAGCAAGGAAAAATCCATCTCCTTTAATCTCCCCCTTTTCCTGAAATTGGTTAACAGGGATTGATGCCCCATCATTGCAACTTTCTCTTGCTCTTTTATACAGTCTTCTCCTTCTCCCTCTTCCCTAGTTATTCACATCCATCCTTGTCAATCAGAGCCTCAATACTTTACCTCCCTTCCATCATGAGTATGCATCAAGCATTCCTGCATGACTTGACAAGGGAGAGAATTTTTTGCATTAATAAAAGAAATTAAAAAATTATTTTGCATTCCTTCAATGCAAACTGGTAGAAAGACCTGAGTCAGTGATTCCTATTTGCATGAAACAACAAATGAGCAGTCATTTGGTAAGGTTTTTGATAACCCAGATGAGCTGTTAATATGAACAAAATCCTTGGGCCCTTAGGTCTGGATAAATAATACTTGGTTGTACATCCATATCTTTCACCTATATCTTTTTAAGGGACTCCAGAGAAGAGACAGTGATACTTACAAGTTTAGAGATGTGCTCCACATCACAATTTTTGAGTGTAATATGGCCATTAGGCTTCATTGTATTAAAAGAAAATAGACATATGTAATTACCCATTGTTTGGGAGGAAGACAGGAAGAGAATGATGGTAGAAAGCCTCTTGACCCGACTCAGCCCTTCTAAGTGAGGGAAGACAGGAAGATTCTGAGAGATAAACTCCAAGTCCAGAGTCTCAAAGATCCACCACAGGTGATCAGGCTCAAGAAACTCTTTGAACACATCCACATATGAAGACGGCTTGATTGCCTGATGATACAGACAGGATGAATCAGCCATCAACATCATAAAGGCACTAATTAAATTTCAAATTCTGATAGATGAATGTTGATTTCTGGAGGGAGCAGGAGACCAGAAAATAAGAGCATTCAAGTAAGCTAAAGTGTCTAAGTCCTCAACAAATCAGGGAGTGAATTGCCTCAACATATTGTTAAACTAATTCTCAATAATAAAGTTACTATAGTAGGGTAATCAGTAATGATCACTTATTATAAATTTAAAAAGGAAGTAATCAGATAACACTGTGAATAAATTCTGCAGCGAAAACAAAATCACATGCATGTTCCCAGTAGTGTGAACATGGTTCCATGTGGAAAACTTCATTGAACTGTAATTTTTTTAGCTCCTTGAGGAGCCTCAATAAAATAATCTATCTGAATTATTACAATCACATGGAACTTGAACTATTTGACCTGAATAGTGGGAGGTCTTGGAAGTTAATGCCTTAGCATCACCATCTAAAGTACCAGGAACACTCAAATATGCTAAATGGCTGTTTCATCAAGTTGCAAGCTAGTCAACCTTAATTTCAATCCAAGGGCTCAGAAATTACTTTCCAAGCACACAATATAGCCATTCCAAAATCATTGTACCTGGATCGGTCAGTTGCATGCAGACATAAGAACTGATGGACTTTTCAATGAGTTTTTCACCCTGTTTGGTTCCAATGATAAGGTAAAAAATTGGAAGAATTCAAAAAACTAACTCTTCACAACTTGTAGAGATTTTCCTTGCAATTCTCTTAGGTATGTCCTAGAGTTTCTTCCATGCAGAAGCATGAAATCATCACAATCAAATTACAGGAAAAGATTGCATCATGTGAAAAGCAACCTGTTGTAATCCATTGCCTAACACACAATCTTCGAACAGTAGCACAATGTCTGACACTGATCCTAATACACGACTGAAAAATATAAATGATGCCAAAATTACCTATGAATCTGGCAATAGGAAAGATAGGGATTAAAGAGGAAAGTTTTACTGAACATCAGTCCACATATGGAACATTACGGGCATTAGCAAGAGTACCAAACACATTAGAGAATGCTAGTGTCTACCTGGAGATATGGGAGTCTGAGGGATCCATTAGAGGCACTTAGGCGTCTGATGTCCTCTTGAAACTGCAAGGCACTTTTGGGTGGAGAAGGGAGTGTGGACAATGGTGGAATTGGCAGCTCTCTTCCTCTCATGCTTGACTTCTTCCTCTCAAGAATTGTGCTTGGATCAGAATCTTCTTGAACCTAGGAAGAAAATCACAATCTAGAAACATCATTCATTCCTTTACCTCTCTTCATGGCAGGATTGTGATGCATTAAGTTGAAATACAAGATAATGGCTCACAAACAGCAAAATGAAGTGTGTCCTTCATGTAGACTGTCCATAATACAGGCAAAAAATAGTCAAAAAGTCAGTTGCTTTTGAAGAAGGCACCTATTGAAAAAAAATTTATTTGACTGCACATTGACTTTTGATCACCCTGTATTTGCAATTCAAAGTGAAGCCAGGACTTATTTTCATGAGTCACTTCCACAAACTCACAGGTGCAGATGTCTTTTCTGGGGGTGATTCATAGATTGGTGTTGACAGACTGAAGATGGCATCAACTTCTTCTCCAACTTTAGGGCTCAACCTGGCAGAGGAAAAAATATATTTACTATGGGTACCGAAGTGTCAGTGCCTCCTAAAAGACTTCTTTTTACTGACTTAAGAAATATTAATCTCTAACTCTAAGAAAGATGATCATGATTTCAACAGCCCCCAGAACATACCAATATGAATATGATGGCAAACACTGAAGATTTAACTTAAAATGTTGATTGTTTTGAACTAATGCACTTCATTCACTGAAAACTGAAAGAATAGAGTTTCTTTGATCTTTTTCAGAAGAATATAATAAGAAGATAATGTCATCTAACCTAGAGGCAACATTGCTCAAAATATATTAGGAATACAAACTTAATCCAATCAATATTGCATATGTACATACCCAAATCTATCACAGATATATTATGGATTGCAACCTACTCTTACAAAGCATTTTTCATTCATTACAAGCACTAGTGGGGAGCTCAAAAGCTGAAACTGAAAATTGAATGAGTTGGATTGGGTGACATGGTAGCACCTACAATGTGATGACTACAATGATGGAGTGCCAAATATGACATTCCCTTTGCCTCCTTTGGAATGTTTTATAATTAAAAATCATTCCAAGCTTCTTTTTCATGCCAGATTCAGAGAGGGAATTATGTTTAGATGAAAATTAGGATAAACAATTGAGTCGCTGATGATAAAATGAACTAAAGTGTTTAATCATTTAATGAATCAGCAGCTCTATTACATACCTACTACAAGGGGAGAATTCCTGCAAACTCTGGTTATGAAAACCTCCTTCTAAAACAATATATACATATGTTTAGGCCAGGGGTGCCCAAAGTGCAGCTCATGGTCCACATGGAGCACAGGAAGTGCCTCAGTGAACATCCACTTTGTGCACCCCTGGTTTGGGCTGAAAAATTGAATCTACAGGAGTCACACATCCACCAAATCCCAGCAGAAGAATTATATGTTTCTACCTTCAAAAGGATTGCATCAACCAAGAATATGAGAACAAAATTCTGCAAAGTCATGAACAAAAAATTATTTTCCTCATGAATTGGGACAAATGTGACATTTGACTCCCTGATTTGATTCACATGTATGTTCTTGCATCCACTGCCAATGATGCTTGATCAGGAAAGTGGATAATTAGAAGTTAATACTGATTGTTATGATGGTAATGATATGGGCAACATCAATTACACTTAGATGCCAATCCTATAAGCATAAGACAGGGACTCATGTGAGATTCTATGACCTGCCATGAGTGATACGCTGGAATGCCTTGCGGAGGTCTTCCCTCCCACTCACGTCCAACTCCAATGCACGTTTGAGGTCCTGGAGTGCTTCATCTATGCGCCCCTGGAGCACACAGGAAATGCCTTTCCGGAACCATGCTTTCACCAGATTCTTGTCCAGGTTCAAAGCCCGTTTGCAATCGCATTCACTCTCCTCCAGCCTTAGTAATCAAGGATTCACAGAAAGAAAAGGCTGAGTCAAAATGTATCTAACTCCATCTATCAAGTTTTCTGTTGTGTTAGTGTTTCTTTCTATGCAAGTTCATCTTCTGTGCATGGAGACTTTTTGGCCCTGAAAAATGCCAATGCATGGCATCATGCTAGTGCAGATGCAGTCAAAAGTAAAACGTCCTGTTTTCTCACAAGACTGGGCAACTTTGCATTTTATTTGTCACTGAGACTAAACTTGAGCATGAAAAAAATTTATTTTGTGCTTCATCCATAATCAAGAGCTAAAAATCCTACCCTCTACCATTATAGATAGGAACTATGAACCTATGAACAAGATGGCATATAATATTTCTTCCTCCTCAAAGAGATGAACCATTTGTGATAGGAGACAAAATATTGACAGGATGAAACAGGGTAGGGTACTGAAATTCCCTTTCCTTAAAAACTTGTCTGTCTTGCAAAATGCTTTTTAATGCATATTTAGGTTCACATGCCAAGCAACATCAGCTTCAATGCATCAATCTCAATGTGGAAAGATTCCTACCTGTTCAACTTGATAAGAGCCATGCTACGATTGATGAGAAGAATGGTGTTATCAGGATCCACCTGGAGTGCCTTGGAATATGAGTCTACAGCTTCTTTGTACTTCCCCTCTTTGAAGAAATTGTTACCCTGGCAAACAACAACATTTGATCATGCCCATGAGAACAACTGATGTTGAAGGTACACCAATGTTGAATTGTAACCAATATCTGGGAAGCTGATATTTGGAATCCTGACACCTAAACATAATAATATAATATTAATATAAGTGAACTATGAGTTTCATAGAAATTAAACAGCTAGGAATGCCCCGTCAGCATGCATTACCTGAAGTAAAGTTTAAGTGTTAGTTACAAAAAAAGAGGGAGGGGAATGTGAGATTTTCTAACCAAAGCAAATTCCCTTTACAGAGAATTTGCTTTGGTCAAGGGATATTGATAGCTCCATCAAACATCAGTAATGCTACATGCCATTCACCTCTGGAGATAATTTATTACAAAGGAAAAGCCAATCCATTGGTTATGATGATGTCATCAGACCAATGTGATCACATAAAAATGCAAGTTAGTCCCATGCTGGTATACAGCTAAACTTAGAGTGCAGGGTTAAGCATTAATGGTTAGACATAAATCACATACGAACAAGACCCAACACCAAGATAAATACACTAACCTGTGCTTTCATTTGCTCAATAACTTCCTCAGACTTCTCATTTTGAGGTGGGCTGATATCATGTACTTTTGAAACCTGCAATAAAAGAAAATGCAACTTGTCATCAAAATCCTACAGGATATCAACAATTTATTGAAAGGTCACAAAACCCTCAATCATCAGCTTCCCTTTCCCTCCTCCAGCAAAAAAATTTTATTGTGCCTATTCACCTTCAGCCCAAGACTTTTCTTCTAGAGTCAAAAAGCCTCTTAAAAAATTTAAATTATTAGTCGCTTTTTCCCTTGTATTCACAATATACTAGAACAGGATCTACTCACAATAGCCACTGATTATGATCCTGACTACCGTGGAGGGAATTTCTTACCTGGCAATACCCCTTACCTACATCTACCACTGCATCCATGACAACACCTTTAACCCACTCATCCTTCCTTTTGCTACTCTGCCCTTTAAGAATGTTTCATCTTCCCACCCCCCTTGAAATACAATGCTTCAGTCTTTTGAGACTGAATCCAATATGACAATGAACCAAAAATTAGATTCATGGACACTCTCAGAAGTCAAAGCCTGACCAGAACATACATTTTAGCCAATAAGAAAGACCTTACTGTAAGAACAACAAAAAAAAACTTACTTGTGGTGTGCTGGGTTGAGTCTTCTGTGACTTTTGCCTCAATTTTGCTTCTTTTTCCTTCATTTCCTCTTCCCATGCATTCAAATCCAGCAGAAAATTCTGCAATTCCTGTGCATGCTCCTTGACCTGTTTCTGTGCCTCTAATGCCATCTGAATAGGAATGGGCCTAACACATCAGTTAAGGAATGCATCACCCACTCCACTCTCTAACTCTATGGCAACACGATCACTTCAGAACTCTCCTTCTTATATATTAACAGGTCTATGGCCAGCATCTCAAGTTCCCAGTCAGTAGTCAGACTTTTTAGATGTTTTTTCTAAGTTGGCAGTGCTTGGAATTCCAGATTGTTTATATTGGTAAAACCAGCCAGTCTTACATTCTTACAAGAAAGGATATAAAGGCAGGAAGCACAGGAGAGAGTCAGCAGACATTCTCTGTGTTATAGGCATGGCCTGAAATTCCTACTCTCCACTATTTCCCAAAGAAAAGATTTATTTGGGAAATAGTGATGGAGAAAGACAAGATTTCTTGTCTTTCTCCCTCCTCATTTATAGCAGTATTACTGATTTTATATTATACTATATAATTCATACACTTTCGATTTTGAAGAGGTGAGTGAAAAAATGATAAAAGTCTTGCTTACAGCAATCACAATTTATAAGGGCTCCTGAAAAATGAGATGAATGTCCCAGGCAAATTTCATAATTGCATCTAGCTCCAATGCAAATATTTCTAACAAGTTGTCCAATTCTTCTGCAAACACAATGAAAAGAAAGAAGAGCCTAACTGTAGTTAAAAAGAGTATAATCCTAGCCCCAAGGCCTACCAAAGGGTAGCTATCCTAGCATCTGGAATATAGAGAAAATTGTCAAAATAAGTTGCATATAGAGTGGCCATTTACCCAAGGCTAGGCTTATCAGCGATTTCACATCATTCATGGTAGCTATAGTCTCCATTTATGGGCAGTATTAGTTTAGTGTTGGTTTACTTCCAGTTAATGGGAGTCCTCTACACTCCAAATAAATTCAGGAGCTTAAGTAGTTCCCATTAGCTGCAAACAGAAACTATGCAAAATTTAAATTGAAAATGAGGGCAATCAATACTTGAGATTTCATGAAAGTTTTGCTTTGCAACAGAAATTCATCTGAGTTAAGATTACCATACATCAATTTACTAGGGTATATTTTCAATAATCTCCAAAGAATATCACTGAGTTAACCAAAAGAAGCAACCCTCAGCCTATGAATGAAACTCTTTGGAAAGGGTCCAAGATGTTCTGCTAATTGAAAATATACAAGTTGTTCATTATCACTTTTACAAGCTTCTACTACTAGATATCATGATTCTTTAAAAATATATAATATCACAGCATCATATAAATTTTAGCTAAGGTCTCAGTCAACAATGTGACTGTTTCAACTTATTCCCATGCTCTGATAATAGGAGTCCTAAGGGCACAGTAAATTCAACCCCAGTTTAGTTCCAGCTTAGGGGATCCATTAGCTGAAACTTAAGTGAGACAGAACAACATTGATATAGTTTCAGTTAACCAGATATAAGTTAAATCAACAAAAATGTGATTCCATATGGCCACTTTAATTTGGTAGTTTCTGGTCTCAGTTCCGTGGAGACAGACTGAAATTAACAATCTGAAGCTAAAATGGTAATAAGAAATCCCTGTATGCAGGGAACCCAGTAGACCTGGGTCTAATACAACCACAGTAAAGAGTCCTTCCAAGAGCTTAGGCCTGAGTTAGAAACAAATCACGGCCAAATTTTAGAATCAGTCCAGAGGCTCTGAACTATGGCCGATTGGGCCTACCACAGGCGCGGCTCAGGTTGCAAAGTCCAGATTTGCTCGAGACGTGGCCTGGTCTAACTTACGTTTAGCGGCATAACAGGCTAACGTACACACGCAAATCAATCATGTCAATCATGACTTCCTTCATACAATTCAAGCTTAGGTTGTTAACCATATGCCGAACTATAGGCTTAATGGGTACCCGGCTTAATTCACAAAGCTGTCATTCTACACTTCCACAACCAAAGTCTCTTGACCTAATGTGTAAAAAACTTAGCCTACGCTAGAGTTACTCTATTGTAATTGGCAAGTTAATTCAAACCATCTGTTCCAGCGTGAAAAATTTTGTTTCTATTATGCATCCAAGGTAAGGGTCAAATCCCCAATGATAGGAATGCCACGAGGCCTATAGAGCTCCCATGCTAAAAGGGGTACGAATTCGCCATGAACCCCTTCACTCATTGCATACAATGAGTCCAGCTGTGCGTCCACGCTCGATGCACCAAGCAAGGGGCCATGACACAACAGTGCGAAAGGAAATCGTTAGATGACTCTGTTGACTCCTTGGGAATTTCACTTCCGGGGAAAGTCCAACCAGAAAATGTCAGTCACCTGAGGCCAGGCGATTTCTCTTCGAGGGCGAATGGGGTTTAACTCATACCAAATAATTTTAAGATTTTTCACGTTGGTCATAATAACAACAGGACTTAGCAATGCGTTTGGTGAGAATACGGTAAGCGAGACGAATTCCGTCCCTGCTGAGTCCGCTCTACGCGTCTCATAACTGGATACATGAAATCCAATCTGCCTTTTTAAACTAAATTACACCGATGTCCGGTCTCAAAACATGAGTGGACATGTTTTGTTCATTTTCTTCAGGAGTGAAATAGATCCCAAATTTTGAAAGTCAAGGACGGATTTTAAGCAGGAGTCAGAATTCGTCTCACTTACCCTAGGCTGAGGGAGGCGAACAAGAAGAGACTTCTAACAATGATCAATGAGGAGCAGGAGTTCTCGCACGTGAAGGCGACAGCATTGCTAAATACTGCACAACAGGATTTTTGGTAGCATTCAGCATTCAACGGCTCACGCGTTATTCTTCGTTTTATGCGAGATCGATAAGATCTAAAGATATTTTGTTCGATTTTGGAGACTTGAAAATATGTAGGGGTTTAGCGACGCTCGGGAGCTTCAAAATAGGCTTATTAAAATGATAAAGGAGTCACGGGGACTTTCACATAAGGGAAGTTTAGAAGCTGGGACTCTTCGCTTGACAGGTTAATGAGGAAGGGGAAGGTGGGGGGGAGGGGGGGGGACTGACGTTTTCACTGCTCTACGAGGAGGAAAGTGAACGTGTGGAATGCATTTAATGATCGTGTTGACCCTGCCCTGATGGGTGACTAACTTAAGGAATAGATTAAGATGTGGACGGAACAAAAATGGGAGCAACAAGGCTGCAAGTAATTGGGCAGAATGTCGACTTTCTCTCGCAAAAATATCGACGAAGACCTATGGAATAGTTCCTAACGGAATTTTTTCCTAAACGATCCATCGAGGACATCAGGCCACCGCGTGGCTTCTTTTTAAGCACCTGTAGAACTTTGGGAGTCACGCAAAAATTGCGATTGTTCGCTTACTTTCTTTGGACCATCCTGTATAAGGGGGGATTGGACGATAGATTTTTTGCATCGGCAGGAAACGTCCAACCATTTCATTGCGAATTGGAGTATTCCTGATTTAAAATAAACATTTTGTGGTGATGTTGGAGGGAGTCTTTGGACGCAAACATTTAAACTTCACCGTGAGGCTCGATTGAGTTTCGGCACATTCCCTTTGGAATTCATGAAACACTTTTCTTCGCCTCCTGTACCGGTCGTGCAATAAAGAATGAGCGAATCTGGCGTTCCTGCAACCCATCCGCAAGCGCAGTCGGCCGGGGACGAAGAAGTGAAGCAGACGCAGGAATGCAAGATGCAAGGGGAAAACGCGCAGCGCGAGTGCGCGCTCTGAGATCGTTCGAACTCGATGGTCCTTCAGCTTTTTTAAGGAGAGGATCACACGGATACAAACTTTCGGGTGCTCCTCCACGTGGAAGAAAACTATGCATCGCAAAAATCCAGTAATTTTCATTTAGGGAGTAACATCCTACCGTGGCTTGGAGGGTCGAATGAAAGCAGGTCGCCACTTTCTCTTGATGGTATCTCTTTCCTATGTTCCCTTAAGCACGGTTATGAACAGCAAATACACGAACAGTAAACACGATCCCCATCTCCCGATGAGAAAACGAGATAGCCTGTCGCGGGCAGGTGTAACACGCAATGAAGGGACGAAAGTGCGGTGAGAATGAGGGACTTCATCTGAAAAATGACATTTAACAGGGGGGAGGGGGGGGGGGCGTGTAGACATTCTTCACGAAACGGAAACAGAGACCAGGGAAAAATTCGTCAGTTCAAGTCGCGAAGACGGATGGTCACTAGAAAGATCTGTTAGGAAAGATGACCGCGGTTCATAAAAGCAAGATAAACTTCTAACCAGAAAGCGAAAATGCCCACCCCCGGTGAAACCATAATGGGAGTTGGGTTCAGTCTCCTTCAATCGATTTCCTACCAGCCTCGAATACACATATCCACTTCGGAATGGTGCAGCCTAGTTGGGAAACGTCACAGCAAATATCTTTCGAGTGGTGAACCGTAATTACCTTAAAGGTGCTTGCAGATTCAAGCAGATTGATCGTCGGCAATGCAATCCGATATTCAGTACAAAGCCCATTTAGATTTTAGAGGGAAAATGACTTCTTGGTGAGTCGGTTGGTAAACTAACAGGAGTTATTAAGGAGATTAACCCCTCTTTCTGGAGGGATGGGTCCTTGGTTTGACAACTTTTTGATTGAAGCATTCTCATCCCCCAGCCTTCTCAGTGCATTCAAATGTGCAAATAAAAAAGAGATTATTGACACGTTTGTATCGAGTTAGCTGAATAATAAAAACATAATTCCTGGAAATGAGGAAATCATTCATTTATTTCAGCATAATCATGGAACAGAATGCACTTTACATCGGATGCGAACGGAACAGGAGGGCTGAATTTCAACAAATGGGGTGTTTAAAATGGCATCACTGAAAGCAACCCATCAAAATAAAAACGACCCAGGAATCAAGTGGAAGTGAACTCGATGACAATAATGTTCTTTCGACCAAATAATGGTATGCTTATTCTGATTGAGATAATAGAAAGAGAATTAGCTCAAGGTTTTGAAGAAGTTTCAACTGAGACACATGACCCTGAATACCCCATCCACAGGTAGCACCTGTTCAGTATACCCTGGAAGGTACCGATTCCTCATCATGAACTAAAAAATATGAATGCAGAGCTTCTGAAATTATGAGAAATTGTTCTTGTTCAGTGACTGCCTCCTCATGAAGTGTTTGTCACGAGTCCCAGTTTATTCATTAAAAATGAATTGGTGGCAAGTCTCAGTTGATGGTGAATTAAAGGCATGTGTCTCTTGCATACAAGAATGCAGTTTTCCTCAATGAGTGAACGTTTTCCTTGCAATCCAATTTTCAATATGAGAGATATATTGCAAATGAAATGACTGCCTGCTCATCCTCACTTCATATGAAGGAACTTAGTTTGAAATATGAAATAAATCACTTATACCACAGTCATACTTGGAAAAAACTTTATTTTTCAACAAGTCAAAAATGAATCAGTCACACTGCATATGATCGAGATCAGGTACAATGCATTTCTTGAAGGCAAAAAAGGCAGCTTTTGGCTGTTGGAGTGCCAAAGAGTGCCTCTGTTGACCACAAAGATCTTATTACCCAAATACATATTGAGATAGGTGACAAAATTACGTTTCAGGCAATGACACAAGGAACATCTTCGGAAAATGAAAAAATGCATGACTGCATCTTCTATGAGACACATTACAGAAATGAAATATTTATCTTAAGCAATAGAAGAAGTCACTCTTCAGCACAAAGACTAGGTATGAAAGAAACCAATATCTCACAATATGTGTCAGGTTGGAATCTCTGGCATGAAAGTCATTTATAAACGCTGTGATGTGGATGACAAACTCCGCTTGAAGATTGGGGAGATGGAAATTGAGCCATGTGTGACAGTTCCATTTGAAATATCCCGAATTTTCCTCTTCCGATTGGGTGGATTATCTGATGTTGAAGGCAATGCTTTGCTGAACATTCCAATCTTTGATGGGAATTGAAATTCTGACTCAGACTCTTCCCTTTCATTGGAGCACTCCACCTCAGTTTTCTTCATTTTCCAAAGCTTCCTCTCCAGCTCTTCCTTAGCCTTCTCCAAACCTTTCACCTTTTCAAAGATCAAGTTGGTACTCTCATTATTTTTCTTATGGGTATTAAATAAATCAGTCTCACTTGATCCAAAATGATCACTTGATGCATGGGTATAAGCTGAATTTCAACATCCTTCATTTTAAATTGCATTTTAAATTCAGATGATATCTTTGACTCTTTTTTTCCATTTAATGTGGTGAGCATCTCTGATGTGTGATGCAGACTAGGACAAAGGCCTGAGTCAAAATGAGTTTCCTTACCTTGAGCAAAAGTGCCTCATTACAAGAGGATGGTCTTTGAGCCTTGCCCCTCGAAAGTCTTGCCTTCATTCCATTCATTTTCACCGTCATGTCATTTATCATGCTAGAAGAAGAACCATGAAATACTATCACAACTATGTACAGTGTCATGAAATGAATACATTTTTTGATCAAGACAGAGTAAAAAAACTATTGATTTTGCATTCAAAATTCAACTGATTATCCAACCAATGGATTTCCCATTTATTTCCACAGGACATGAAAAAAATAAAACCATTTGCAAATACATTTCTGCTCTTGCTGCATCTATTTTTAAAAAGTTTGTACTATGCCTAAGGTTGCATGTTCTCAATAGACCCTAAATCCCAAGTTTGTTGTAAAAATTAAAAAGCTGTTGAATATTAAAAACAGACAGGATTCCAAGCTGGTAGTGAAGTGGGGTAAATGTCTAAGTGCTGTCATTGCATATCATCTGGGCCATATCAAACATCTCTTCCATTAAAATTCATTAATTGCACTGGCCTTTCCTTGCAGATGGCTTTCATAAGCTCAATAGATATCAATGCAGAGAATTTGCAATAAGTTTCTTCAGATTTTAAGCTTATTTAGTGGCAGTAGAGTCTAGCCACTCTTAAATATAGTCCCTCATCCATACATCCACACCCAGTTTCCAATATATTTTAAATAATCACACTTGTTTTGACAAAGCAAAATGCAATAAATTTCAAAAGACTGTCATAAACATATCAATTTTTGGTAATAGTTTTCCATAAAGGGGCACAAGAAGCATCAGAGACTTTACCACATCCTTCATTATGGTTTCCGGGTATTCACATGTATTTGGCACCAGTAAAACACTTGAGCTGCCCAAGCCTTCCAGAGGCAAAAAGAAACAGACTTATTTGGGAGTGATCATTGACCACAGGTAATAGCCCTATCTGAATTTCTATGAACAGATGGGGTCTGTGATGAAGGGCATGGTATAGCTCAGTAGAGTCTCTTATACTTCTCAAGTTAAGTCAGACTTAATTCTCAAGAAAAACACAGGGGGCCCCCTACAAGATTCCTACAAATGCAAATCAAGCAGATAGCAAAATTTTACAGCACATTCAAGAAGAAAATATTTAACATTCTAAAAGACCATCAACTCTGTCAACCATCAGTGCCCTAAGCTAGCAAAGCATTTCTAGGCATAATAATAGGTTACAGCACTGATAGAACCAAATACTTACTTTCTATAGTAAATGTTGAGAAGGATGAGGTCTCTGATAGCTGGTGGAGGGTTGTTATAGGAGCTCATCGCCTCCTCAAACTCTACTGTCCCTGCCCCCATCAAGTTCTTCAGCCTGTCAACAAAAGCAACATCTGTCACTTGCATGCAATACATAAAGTGATGGAATCAACTGGTGGAGTCAGTATGAATTATATTGGTCTGAAAGGCCCAGAACCAAATTATTAAATGACTGAGCATGAACAGACCACTCAGTTGCACTAGGAGATTGCATTATCTTAACTGGTTATGATAGCTCTCTTCAATGCACTATCATTGTTCAATGCAGTAAAAAAGAATATTCATTTGCCAATCCACTCATAAAGTCCCTCTTGGAAGTATGAAATACACACCTCATTCCAACGGAGGGAATTCTCCAATGGTCATTTTCTTCAGCTAGACTGAGACGAGGGGTGAGTTGCATTGCCTCAGTTAAGTCCGATTTTGGGAGTATAAAAAGGCTTCCAAAGTCCGACATCACGTGAAAGTCTGACTTAACTGAGGCAGCGCAACTGGCCCCATGTCATGTTAATGAATTTGGTCAGAAAGTAAAATTAAACCATTAAAATGACAATAAAAGAAAAACCTAATGTATACAGATGATAGTGGCTGAGTGACTGACACTAATTCTAGCTAGGGCTGTCACGACAGATCGATGCATTGATACTACTACCGATAGTTTTCCGACCATCGCGATGTATTGGCAAAAGATTTTAATGAGGAAATGTCCCATTGGATCGAGGCGAGTACAATACAATACAGTCCGGCCGTGCGAGGAAAGGAAGAGGCAGCTCGCAATATCTTATCACGATCAAATTCTAGAAATAATTGCTGGGACTGACTATATGAAAGACGGGAAGGAAAAGAAAATCATGGATCAGAGACAGGAAGTGGGAAAGGCAGGGCCGTCCAGAGGTTTCTTGGGGCCTGGGGGCAAAACTAAACCAGAGACCCCTTGGGGGGCCCCCTTGAGGCCAATTGATACGTGGGGCCTGGGGCAGATTGCCCCCACCCCCTCTGGGCAACCCTAGGGAAAGGAGAGCGAGGAAAGACCGATAATATTTTTTTCACTTCTGTTACTGTCCTCGGCTCGAACTTATCAGGTGCATGCTGCGAGAGTGAACTGTTCTTATACTCCCTTCATTTCGAATAGTACATTGGTAAATCCTCCTCTCTATATTTCTGTCTTTCTCGTTAGTATGCAGGCCTAATTTTTTAAATTCTAACTTGCTCTGGGGCATTTTACCTCTTCACTTGAGGTGAACTCAAAGTGAATTTTTTACATGAACATTGCTTATTCTAGGGCTGTGGGTATGTTTTGGCAACAGTCGGTATGGCACCATCGGCAGGTTGCTCTCTGCCGGTGCTCATGTACAAAGAAGACCATGTAGAACGAAGAAAACAAGGAAAAAAAACGTGAATGGGCTTAGCAACTGATTCTCAACGGCAATAAGAAAAAAATTAGGGCTCTCCTGATGCATCCATCGATGGATGGATGTCAACTTTGATAGTTGGAGGCATGTTAGGTTTCATTACTTGTTGCGAAGGTCACAGCTTCCCCCAGCACCCCCGCCCCCTCACAAGTGTGAGATTATGGAAGACGGATAGAGGTCCGTGCTACGATCGAGGCAAGAAATGATGGAAGTCAAACCTTCGCCTGATCGCAGAGAGAAAAGATTGAATCCTCCAGCGCAAACCCCCCCCTCCCTCCGATGCATTGATGTTTTGAAAACTGCTATCATGACAGCCTTAATACTAACCATGTTCTAGAGACAATATGATGAAACTTAGTATACAAATATCATAGCTGTCAGGTTGCTGACCTCAGAAAAAATCCACTTTTGGAGGTACATACCCTGGGTACACTTTTTTATGGGGGGCATTTTCAAAGAAAGAAAGAAGGGCATATAAACTCATGAAGTACATTATTTCATCTGATATTGGAAGGTATAAGGAAAAAAATTTGGTCCTGAAGGATCTAAGGTACGATTATGCATTGTAATAACCCAAGTGACAAGCCCAGTCAAGTTCATTCAAGAAATATACAGTGGATTCTGCTTTATTGAGACACATTGGTTCCAGGTCAATTTGCCCTAATAAAGCGAACTTACCTTATATTGTATATAGTAATATAGTATAGCAATAGTATAGTAAGAAACCCAGACACGAATGTCCCTTACTTGTGCAAAAACAAAAATTACGATTTAAGAAATGTGCTCATTGTTGCTTGTTTCGTATCCGATAAAGCTTCTTTAATACACCAATGCCAAGAGCACCGTGTCTGCCATCATCCAAACCCTGCTCAATAAAGTAGTGCTGAAGGATGTCCACTGAGCGCTCTTATGTGGCCTCTTACACAAGTCACCATAGGTGAAGTCTCAGGCTCCTCGTCTGCGACATTCTCTTAGCAAGGTCTCTTGGCAACGATGTTTGAGACTATATCGTCCTCAAAGTCATCGTGTTCGGCGAAGCACGGTGCGTTTTCGTCGATGTTGATGTAGGCTCCTCTGCTAGTGACATCAATAATGGTCAAACCCCCATTGTTGGCTGACGGAAGCTGTGAAGAGGAGCAAGGGAATGGGTGGAAAAATCCACCTGGGACTGACAGCATAAGTTAATCTCAAACTTGCCCCAATAAAGCGGATTTTCGTCGCAAATATACGGCGAAATTTAAATGCACTTGCATAGAAATGGTTCTGTTCCTGACAAAATGTTCTGATAAACAGGCTGCCCCCAATAACCAATGGCCCAATAAAGTGGAATCCACTGTACATGGAAACAGAAAATTTTTAGTCACAAAATTCCTCATATCAAATGGAATCCTTTGAAATTCACTTACTTCTGACATTCCTCCAACTCCTTCTTGGCATTTGCAAGCTCTCTGGCCTGAGACCTGAATGCCAGTTCTACCCTTTGCAATTCATTTAACTTGGATTTCAGCGATGCATTCTTCTTCTTCAAAGACTTACTCTCTTCTTCCAACTTCCCATTGGATTCTCTGTTGAGAAAAACATTTTTGCCTTGTATAATGGCAAATAGTAAGTCTGTGTAGTAGCTCTGAATATAATTACACACATAAAAGTGAACTTGCAGAGTTCAGAGACTTAAAAGTTGGAAATCAAGTAACAGAGTTACAGTGGCAAAGGCATCCCATTTTTCATAAGGTATTATAAGAAAATGCCATTCAAGAAAAGCCAGGAGATCATGCAATTTTAAACCCATGTAAAAACTGAATTTTGGTAGGATATGATACCAGTGACATTAAAACATCAAATGCTTTTAGAGACATGGGATTTTAGTAAAACTGCATGCATCCATTCTTTGTCATTTCACTATGGAACAAGAAAAATTGATACTTTAATGACTGCAAAGTTAGAATGAAATGATAATGATATTCCTCACAAGATTCCTGATAGTTGACTAACAAGAGATGAGTTCTCTTTCTGTAGCACCTCCTTCTCCTGGATTGTAAGCTTCAATTGGAATTTCAGGCTTTCCACCTGAACTGGATTCACTGTATCAGCATCTCCAACAACCGTCTCATCAGTGTCGAAAAAGAGTTGGATCGCAGATCCAAGGCGTCCCTTCTTCCGGCACAGGGGACATGTTTGTGCCCTTAATGAGAGATAAGATGACAGGGGAAGTCATTAAATTTTGCAGATGAAAGTTAAGTGGCTTTTGTCATTAACAATCAGGGGAAGCAAGGAGACATGAAGGTAAGCTGATAGTTGAAGTCACTTAAAAAAGTGATTATTTAGGACCCCACAAAAATGAACCTATGATAGGCAGATTCTTACAATATGGGGTATCTCAAGTACCACCACTTTTTAAGCAAAAGCAGGTATAATCAAGGAAGTCAGGGAGATACTTGTAATGGTTCACTGATGAACCTGAAGACACTATCACGGAAACAATGCATCATGCTGTTATTTGCCTGTCCTTCACCTTTGATAAGAAGCCAGTATCCTATTTCAAGAATGGGACTCATCAAAGTTGCAAGCATGCATGTCTATGAAGAAGGATATTTGGAAGTTTTTCACTTACCAAGCTTGAAAAATAATGACATGCAGCACTAAAACAGAGAACTACATGGTGGCCCAAAAAAAAGGCACACTTTTCAATGCACATTTTAGGTGCAATGTTTTCAAGGATCTTATTTTAAGTAACATGTAAGGGAAAGAAGAAAGACTCAGCTACAAAATGCTGTTTTCATACTTGAAATATCTTGCACATTGACTTAGGACAAATGTTATTGAATTTCAGTAACAAAAAATCAGTGTTGTGCTCACTTAGTGCCAAATAAACATGTGCAGTCTTTTGCTGAGCACCTGTACTATACCCTTCCTTGACTCAATTCACTATTCTTTCATCCCAACATCTACTTGACAGCCTGCCATTCATGAGAAAGGGGAAGAGAAACACTGACCTCAGGAAACGTTACAAGGAGGAGGAAATGTGCCTGTCGACGTAGGCAGTCAGTGAGCACAATGCCGATTTTTCATAACCAAAATTCAATAATTTCATATGTCACCATTTAAAAAATTTAAAGTCAGAAAGCAGCATTTTGCAGCTGTCTTTCTTCTTTCCTTTATATAAGATTGAAAAAAAAAAAAAAACACTTATAAAGCAACACTCCTAAAATGCACATTGAAAAATATGCTCATTTTTGGGCCACCCTGCATATAGGCCCTGAACTCAGTACCTACTTATAAACCTAAGCCTAGATCAATCCAGCTAATATTGAAAAGTGGTATTATCATTCATTTTGACACCCATAATAAATCTGATACACACTGTATGCCAATGCCAACTGGAGTCCTAGGTCACACACATCTCCCTATATGCTGGCAAAAATTGAACAAGCTCACCTTTCCAGCCATTCCACAAGGCAAGGGTAGTGAAACACATGTCCACATGGTAATGCAGCAACGCTCTCACTATGAAACACTTCTTCACTGCATATTGAACATGATAAACGTAACGGCATCCTAAAAATGAAAATCAAATTGATGAAGAGGCATCAGAAGGTTATGGGTCAAGTCAGTCTCAGTTTCAATTTCTTTCCTGGGCTAGGAATGATGCATCTCCTGGAGCACATAGAGAGCATCCTAAAAAAAAAAAACAGTGTCGAAGTCCTGATGCTTCTCATTCACTACACAACCTTGAAAGTTTGATACAACCTTAAAAATCAGGATTTATGGTTGCAAGCCTAAAAGCATGCTTATATATTTCAGTGAGTGATTTCAATGCTGAGAGAGAAGCAAAGTTATGAATGCATGGTGAATGCATTAAGTGAGCATAAAAGTCATGGAGATACTTGAACTTTTAGATATACAAACACCCTTTCCCCAAAAGGCTCTACAGATTTTCAAGCACAAAAAAATTAAATTTAAAGCTGAAATGCTGAAGGCCCATGGATTCTTCCAAGGGGGAAAGAGCTCTTTAGCTTAAAAGCTCATTCACCTTGCTCAAGTTTCAACATTTGAACCTAAATTTAATAGCAATGAAAAACCTGATGACCAGGTGAACAAATGAAACTCTACCTTAGGCTAGATCCTAGCTGAAGAGCTTCAACCTATTACTAACTCCAGGCCTAAATGGAGTTAGCACTATGGTTTGACAAACTCTGTCAAATGAAACAGCAGCATCTGGTATGCTTTTCTGATGAGATATATCTATTCTAATGAGACTGTATTTAGAGAAAGGAATTTTCAATGTCAAAGTGAATTCTGGGGTCTTTGAATGCAGGCTACATTATCAAAACATGGTTACACAACAAACAAGACAATAATAACTTCATATTCATATCAATTATAATTTCAATTTTGAACACATTATGGCTTATTTCAATGCAAGCCCAAAGCAAAATGGAAACTTTTAATAATTGAAACTTTATTATTACATCCAGTTAACCATCACTGCACACTGGCATTCCCCGTGCTGGCTAGGTCTACTGCTACTGGAAAATAAATCCATGTAATCAAAACGTTGGCTCCATTTGCCTAATGTTATTCCTACTATGGGAAGCATCCCCTCACCTACCCTGGATGCATTACAGACATAACATTCCACAATGTAAAATATGATACAAATTCCTATGCAAAGCACCTTATACGTAAAAGCACTCAGATTCACAGTAAAACAGTCCTGAATTCCTTCTCTAACTAGTTCATACATTATAGCCCATCACTACCTCTTTGAAAATCAGTGGGCATGCTGAGGGAAGTCTATTGCTAATCACAACTCAGACTTCCTTGGGTCGAAGCAAGTCGACCCAGCGAGCAAGCCGAGAAACAGGCTGATTCCAAAAACTAACCCAGTCAAAGTTCGGTGGCCTTTCTGTTGCAGTTCCAGTCGGGACTTCCTTTAGTTAAAAGTCGATAGAAGTACAGTGGAACTTCAACCATACCAAAGTCTGAACTGAAACTGGGACCGAACTCCAACTGAACTGCCGTTTTTAAGTCAGCCCGAGGTTCCACTTTCAAAAATTGAGAATCACGACATCTTTCACTGGCGCTACGATGGCGGCAGCCATCTTCGCAGGTTCACCCGTCCTAAGCAGTTAGCTCAGTGGTCCTCAGTGCCATCCAGAGAGCATTCCTGAAACCGTCACTTTTTAAGTGGTAGTGCGAAGTCGATATTAAGTCCCTCTCTACTTCCATGATATCTTCACCACCCTCTTTGAGTCTAGTGGGTCTGTCTTCAACCCGTCATTCTCCGAGCCTTGTATATTACGACACCAGACCAGATGGCTCATTTTGCTCATGATTGCTAGTCTTATCAGTCAGAGAGCCGCAGGGATTGCATGTTCTGTCCACTCAATATCGCAATGACGCGCTCTAGCGGCTTCGTCATTGGCGAAACCCCGAAAACAGCACGCGTAGTGAATAAGTCTGGACTTCCGGACGGCCAACGTAATGGCCCACCACGAGCGACGTAATGGCCCTCCACGACCAATCTGTCTAAATATGAATAGGCCTATCATTAACATTCTGAAGTGGTCATCACCTAGGATAATGACAGTCATGGCACTCAATAGTTATGGTGAGGCAAAAAAAAAAATGCGTCGCTTTAAAAAACTATTCGACATTCTCGAATCAGTAGATAGCTGAAGAATGTTTTTTTTTTGGAATGAGATTTAAACATCCTTAATAAATATCTTTATTAAAATCCCCCTAACTAACGAAACGATTTTCTTGCGCTGAAGAAAACTGCGTTTTACTTGAAATAAATGATTGAATTACGTTGAATCATGCGTCAAATTACGCGGAATAAGCCATTGGCTCTCCAGACGACAATCGAGGAACGCAAAAAGTCCCAGCTTCCAACTGCCGAAAAAAAAAACAGCGAATCTGATCTCATCGGTGGAAAAGCAGAGTGCGTTAAAAAAAAAAAAGTTGCAAAGAATCGGGATCGCTCATGAATTTCTGAGACATGCAACGACGAGTAACCTTATTGCGTGATCTACTCTTCCGCGAACAGCAGAAAAAGTTAAAAAGAAGGCTTATTCCGCCCCAGCCGAGGAGGCTGCAACGAAGAGTTTATCTTTTTCACACGGCCAGGAAAACAACCAGAAAAATTCGAGAGGAAAAAAAAACTAAGTACAGGCTTCCCTCGCTTTACACGGGTTCTGTTTACACGGATTCGTACTTGCACTTTTTTTTTTTACTACCAAAAATTCGGAAAGCACGGGGTGTGGTTCGCCGATACACGGTTTCAGTTTATTGAATTTTTGGTATTAAGAAAAAAAAACCGTGCGAATGCGAATCCGTGCAAGAAGAAAAAGCAGACGAAATTGGCATCTTTCTTCGGTCCAAAGCTCGACGGGAAGAGACGAGAGGGAGTTTTATATATATATTTTTAATCATTTTTGAGCCGGAGCGAAGATGAAATATTGCTTTAAAGACCCGGGAAAGCGAGGGTCGAGGCCGAACGATAAAACGGTTCACCGTCTTTATTGCCACTACTTTGTCCTTTATCGTCCCACTTTATCGTCCTTTTTACGAGCTGCCACACAATCGGACTCGTCCCGCTCTCGTGGATCCGCTCGCGAGTTCGCAGGGATCATCGCATCCTCTTCGGGATCAGACCGAAGAGTCCGCTTAAAATTTCCACTCTTTTTAATGGAGCACTCGACTTTCATTTTTTTTTTTTATAAACAAGGGAAGTCACCATATTTGAATTTTATTGATTAAAGGATATCCCTGTCGGGGACGCTACATTAGTTCATGACATTCCATCGCTTAAGACGGAATGATCTTACAGCTTAACTTCAGCTTCCTACAACTGAAAAGTTGTAATGTGTAGCTTTTTAAGTCTGGGGTGGTTGGAGTAACATAAAGTGACGGTTTTTATGAGACTGGTTTCATTGGCAATTAATTATTTTATGCAAATAAAGTCAATGGCGTTAATATTTTCGATCACTTGTCATCCAATGAATTTCGAAAAAAAAAAAATTCCCCCCCTCCACAAAATGTTCTCGCACTCGTGATGACCCATGTATCCTGCCTGTCCCGAGGACGATCTATTTTACAGGGATCTATTTTATTTTTTCGGCCCAAGGCTCTGCATTCCAACTTCGCGTTTCCCATCGACATTGTCTCCAATGAACGATATCAGCCTCGTTTATTGGAGATAATCTCGTATTTGGCTACTTGCCATCGATCTTAATTCTGAACTAAGGTCGAAACGAATGGCTTCCGTAAGGAAAGTCGGAATTCCATCCGGCCATTATTCAATTATTAAAATAAAATTAATCGAATCCAAATAATTTTTGCACGCTCCGGCTCGTAAGTCCTCGAGTTCCTTGTCGGATGTCTCTTTGTTCTCCCGGCCGATCTTTTGGATTCGTTCGCAGACTATTCTTTTTTACTTGTGTGTTTTCATGTAAAAGCTGAGCCCCTTCCCCATCACGACATAGAATCCTAACGTGCCGATTTCAACCTTCGAGGAGTCATAATTTAATCACATCTCCGCCCAGAGGAATTTCATCTGAGTCAAGGGGAACTAATTGGTAAGGGGGCGGAGGGGGCGGAGGGGGGGGGGGGGTTGACGTACTCTGGTTATTTCTTTCTTCGGGCTCTTCCTTAATCTTATATTGATTAGATACGAAGTGAATTATTCGCTCTAACATTTGCATGCTAAACCCCATCGGCTTCTAGCAAAAGAAAACGATCTGGTCGATCGGGAACCTCGTAGAAACGTTGGGGTGAACTGGGAAGCAGAAAGAGAATCAGCTGAAGATCGGGGACCAAGTCACGAGGGATTGAAATCGAGGCTTCTCCGTCGTCTTCTCGTCTCGCGGAAGGTCGAGCTCGCTTCACGTCGCCTCTCCCGTCGGGAGTCTGTGAGGGCGAAAGCAAAGCAGCCAGATCGGATCCGTGGGCGATGGGGGCACAGGGGGAGGGGGAAGAGGGGGAGGGGCAAGGGGGGAGGGTCTTGCTCCCGTCGGTCGTCCGAAGCCGCGAAATGCTCTTACTTTGACTCTGAGCATCCGCTTAGTCTCTTTCGTCTCCAGATGAAAGAATCTAAGATCTTTCCGTCTTCGTCAACTCGCACGCGTCCTTTCTAAGATCGTCTGCTTTCCGTACGAAGGGGGTCGTCATGACATGCGATTTCATTCGGGAGATCGTCATTCGATCGGCTGCGATGCCGGTATGGTTACACGAAGAGTGGAAATGGGCTGAGAATGAAATGAGGAGAAATGAAGAAGGATAAGGAAAGGAGAATGAAATGAACACGATTTATAATTAACACAGTATGATTACATTATTCCTAAGTGGACTAAGTAGTCATAAGCTTCCACAATTGAGAGATTTACCCGAATAAATCTTATTTCTGTATTTTCGAGATTATTTAGAAACGAGGGGAGGAAAAGGGATGGACGAGAAAATCGCAAAGACCGGTTTCGGATCTGAGAAATGTTACTGGCGGGACCTTGAGGAATCGAAACTGATAGGAAACGGTTTTCCACGCCGTGGGTGACTCAGTGCTGACTCATGTCGGTGGCAATATAGCGACTATTTATGAGGGGAAGATTTCATTGCTCTGGGAGCATTCCGTTGGACTTTATGATGTGGCCGTCTTACCGACTCGTTTTCGTCCTCGTCTTCGCTTCTGTCGGCGTTTCGACGGTATGCTTGCAGTGATAAATTTCCGGTCCACACGGCTTAGAAGCCGGTCGATTTTGATGCATTTCTTCCCTCGACTCGATGAGGCGGAACGGGAGGTGAAACCGGCCGGGACTTACCGTGCAGCAGTGATGGAGCACAAGGCCGTCGCGGTCGGTTCCGCCGCGGACACCATGGACAGGAACCTGGAGATCCTCGAGAGGAATGCGAGAATCGCAGCCGATCGGGTCTGAATCCTCGATTTTCATCCTAATGATGACGTGGGGTCGAGAGCAAATGAGGTGTATGACTCGGTTGATTCTTTCGGTCACCGCGTGCCGAATCGGAACGTGCCGGTAAATTTGGTTTTGGATCAATTTACTGATACGGTACCTGCAGATTCATTCACGAGACGCTTGTATCGAAGCGTAGAATCCACCTAAATGTTGTCACCGAACGGCACTCGATACGTAAGTATTAGGGGACGTGTTTAGCGGAGACCGAAAATTAATTCGTGATAGAGCGGGTTACGACAGGAATTTACGAATCGGGATCGGCGCATTCTGTTCGAGTCACGACGAACCGAGAGTCCGAATGAAACGTACGATTCGTTTTGAAGGGCGCCGACTTGATGGTGTTCCCCGAATACGGGATCACGAGCCTGGGTCTCCCCATGGAGCAAGACAAAGCCCTGCCTTTCATGCAAGACCTCGCCGCCGCGGACGACCTCCCCTGCCTCCAGCACAACTCGTCGTGGGTGAGTCTGCATCGTTAGGGGTCGAATGGGTATCCATTGTGTTCCGTGCACCGGTTCCAGGAAAAAGCAGTACACTGCGTCTTTACTCTCCATCGAATCATGAAAAAGGTGAAGAGACCTGCCAGTCATCGCTTTGCTTCCACGAGGGAAAAAAAAAAAGAATGTAGCAAACAGTATTTAAGACCCAATCTCAGGCTGAGTCAGGAAAAATTCCTCTTTTTGTGTAGCTGGGACCCCCAACACCACTTCCGGTATTAGTTTTATTTCAATTCGGAATACGCCCAAGAGTAGTTCTGGATTTCCTCGTTACTATGGCGTTTTCCTTGTCGTAATCGCCCCAATAGTCGAGATCGAAGAAGTGGAAGACAGGAAAGGTTGGTGCGCCGTCATGGGATGGGGTAGTATTGTACAGAATTACATAAAACACATTCGTAATGAAAAAAAAGCCAACTCACGGCACTCTTCCGCGACTTCTCTCTCTCTACTCACCCCCCCCCCCTTTCCCTTTCCCTTTCTTGTGTTATGGGGAATTTATGCTACAACACCCATGACTGAGTGGATTTTGTGGAGGGTTCCTATCTCCTTATCCTTGCAACACCAAAAAAAAAATATTTTCCCCAAGACAAGTCATTAATAAGCGATGGCTCGTGAGATTCTTGAAAAGAAGTTGAATATTTTTACATATCACTCTAGAATAACCCGAACTCCAAATCTCATTCGAGTCAAGTATCTATCCTGGTTTGATTTTGCTTGAGATTGGATGCTAAAAATTTTCGTTCCTTAAATTCTACATGGGGTTGAGGGGGGGGGGGGGGAAGGGGGGTAGCCCGAAAGGCTCATGAACCCCATGAAGAACCCGACTATCGAATTAGCTATTGCAATAAAAGCAAATTTCGTTAGCCATACGAAAAAATTATCGGTCAACGCTCGAACTTGTTGCTGTTTGACACATTAAGGATTGCAGTATCTCTCTTCTCTCCCTTTACATGAAATGCATGATTTATCGAACATATTTCTTGGGTGTCCCTCCTCGTACGAATTTTTTCCATTCACACTGTGCACAGAGGATTAGTCTCCTTAGAAATGGCTCATCTGCAGGATTAGAGGCACGCCCCTCAGGGAAGAGTATTTCATCCTCGAAATTCTTTGTTCCTCTCGTGGGAACATCATCTTCGGCTTCTCGTTTCACGGACTCATCTTCCATTCATCTTGGGGGGTTTTAAGCAGGTGTACGGTACATTTAAAATCCAATCGTCGTATCAATTCGATGAGATTCGCTCTGAAAGTCCGGAAAATTAAGAAATCGCTTCGAAATTCAGCACCTTCACAAGGATTCATGCGAAACTTTCGTCATTTCCACTTCAAGATTACAAATAACAACGCATCGCGTGGAAATGCTTTTACTGTCGATAATTGCCGCGGAATGGGATCGGATCGTTTCATAAAAGTCAGATAGAACCTAATTAAACCGAGGCGAAGAAATGATTGCACGTCACGTTACGTTACGTTACGACAGGTGATTCGGCGGTTGAGCTGCACGGCGAGGGAGAACAGACTCTACCTCGTCGCAAACGTGGCCGAGAAAGAGTCGTGCAACGGCGAAAGGCAATCTTGTCCAGCCGATTCTCCGTACTTCTACAACACCAACGTCGTGTTCGACCGAGACGGTCGCTTGATCACCAGGTGAGCGATGTCGTGCCGACTCGTTTAAACGTCTCGTTGCTGTTGCGGTTCGGGGCGTGGGATGAATCCAGTAGCCATTTTCATTCGCGTGGGGATATGGTGATCCTCTACTGTGATTCTGTTTTCAGTTTGATATGAAAATATTAAATTAGTATTGAACTATTTTCTGCAATTACAATCGTTCTAATATTGTTCTGGGACTAACATCTCAGTGCAAACGAATTTTTGTGACCGGCGCTTTCGTCGCAGCCTAAATGGGCGCACACAGTTCGTTGAGGACAAAACGTCGCAAGTCCCATTTCATCGCAGATGCACGACGAGGCACTAGCTTGCAGACAAAGGTAAAAACAAGGTTTAAAAAATTCCCAGGAAGGAATGGAGTACTGGAATTCCCGATTCCTATCAGTTCAGGAGGGGAAAGGGACGGGAGGGAATAGTATTTATTTTTTAGCTGCACTGTTCATATGCAAATTCGAGTTTTCATAAGTAATGGAATGGGTCAAATTATGAACAGTAGTGGTTCTCAAAATTTTTTTTTTTTAACTAGCGGACCAATTTCGGAATAAAGGGAACCTGCACGGACCCCCTTCACTATCGCGTGAATATTTAAGCTTATAAAACTAGAGCTAGTAATTTTGAAGAAAGTATGGTAAAAGTTGGCAGATGGGATACTCCTTTCTGTATTTTAATTTTTCATCTTGCTCGTTATTCATTCTTGGCCAGAACATGATTTCTCGTTCCAACTGAAGCCTCGCCCCGGTTGAGGAACGTTCATCTACAGCAGGGGTGTCAAACTCGATTAGGCTGGGGGCAGAATGGAAGCCTTCAGCGGTGGTTAGGGGCCACAATAAAAATCGAACACCTAATACTTAATGCAAACAGGCTGAAATTTATATTATTTTTCCGTAACCGACTGTTGAGGACTTCGGATCCGGCCCGCGGGCCGTCAGTTTGATACCCTTGATCAACGGGTTTAGAAAACTGCTCCAGGAAGGATGACTTTTCATTGTAGTGAGACATAGTGACGATGAATAGCATACCTATGTGAGCTACCGAGATGTAAAGGTAATATGGTGTGAGATACACGAAAGAGCGGCTCACAATGTTGATTTATGACTTCTGTACTAATTCACGAGCTGCGATTAACGACAAGTGCATTTTAGAACTCTAATCTAGGGAGTCCGCCTCGATTGGGTCGAGACGTTATCTTACGAAATTCCGCAATGAAATGCTCGCGTGACGGGGGAAGTGTGACGATCGGTGTCTTTGACGAAACTGTACTTAGACCAAAGATGCAAGCGACTGCATGCCTGCAACGAATTGTTTGTCCACGACCATTTTGTCCGCAACAAAAGCGCCGGTAACCAACATTTTCGCACCCAGAAAGCTAAACGAAGGATATCGGCCGAATGAAGTTATTCTCCTATTGCGTGTTGTTGCACTATTGGATCTTGAAAATTGAAATGCCATGAATACAAAAATGCAAGATGAAAAAGAGTCAGACATATACTAACGCACTATTCCCTCTCGATTCCTACCACCTTGGAAAAGGTATCGAAAGAAAAATCTGTACTTGGAGCCACTATTTGAAGAAGGAGATGGGAAGCCAGTGACTTTCCAGACTGACTTCGGTGGGAAATTTGGACTACTCACATGCTTCGACATCATGTTCTCAGAGCCTTTCCTCTCCCTGCTGGATGAGAACATCACCGATCTTATTTTCCCCACGGCATGGGTTGATTCATTGCCACTCTATCTTGGTGAGTCTTTTTCATGAAACCCTATTCTCTTGGTTAGTCTTCCTCATTCATCAGGTAGAATACTCCTACACACCCCTGTATCTTAGCAGCAGACTAGACATTTCCATAGATTTATGACATTCCATAGATGTGCAGGTATTGCCTTCAAAATGGACTAGTGCTGGGCCAGGGTTGCGGAAGTTCATGCTCTTTTGCTCATCTTTCTCCTGCTTTCTGTGTTTTTTTTTGTTCATATTCCTTCACTAGTTTCATACATGTTTGAAAATATGAGATAAACAGGCTAGTTTAAAATTATATAATCAGTGTTTGGAGTCTATGAAAAGTACTATGCATTAAATAACGTGTCATTTCAAAAAATGCCCTCAAATTAAGCAAAGATGAAGGAGCAAGGGAGGGAGAGAGATTAATGCATTATTTGTAAGTTGAAAATAAAAACATCAACCACAAATGGGATATCTTGCTTAGTACCTGAACTGTGAAATGAAATTATGAAATAATATTGACACAATCTTCAGTTTATAGAGAATGCATTTGTCAATATCAAACAAAAGTATTTTAAAAGCAGAGCTGGGTAATTTCCACAATAAAACCTTTTAATTCAATCCAGTAAAAGTAAAAAATAGAAACTGGTAACTAATTGGAAAAGTAAGCCAAGTATTATCATGAAGGAAATAAAAGATTCAAAAAAATATTTTCTACAGTGTCAGCGCAGCATACCAGGGGTGGGAAAAGTTATGTAACCTGGTAACCAGGAAGGGTAGCAACCGATCGGGAAGGCAAGGTAGGGATGAAAACTAAATAACAGAAGAAAAGCGAGGGGGGGGGGGGGGGAAGAATAAAATAATGCGGAAAGAAAGATTGGGAAGACGAGAGATGGTAATGGAGTGAAAGAGGGTACATGACGACTGCCTGCGAAAAGATAGAGGCACCGGAAATATATCTCAAAGGATGAGGATATGGATTTTTTTTATCCTGTGCCGAGCGTAAATAGGCAAAATAGACCGGTATTCTGTACTGTATCCCCTCGATCCTGGGGTTGCATGATCTCGTCTCAACGAGGATAGGTGAAAATTGGGGATACTGGTCAAATTTGCCTGACCGTAACGCAGAGTCATCTTGTCATCGGCATAAGAGAGGGATTATAATTTTGCTTGTGTATTTCACGAGGTGAGAAATACTCATCACTGAATTAGAATTAGGCGGCGTCTTGTGCCTCGGAAACCTCTTCCATTTCTCTTTACTCAATCAGTCGGCCCGACCTCGGGTTGCCTGGCTTTTCGCTGACAGATTAACTGTTCCCTTCGCATCTTTTTTCAAGTGACCTTATTAGACTCCAAGGTTGAGTGTATACATTGATCTCCATTCCCCGTCGGAGCACCGTCCAATCCTTGTCCCGCACCTCACGAACAGTGTCCTCAGTGTCGAACTAATTTAGTTCCTCCTAATTGAAGCACTTCACTAATTGGCATTTCTTGCGAAGAACGCAGCAAGCGAACGAGTTGAAGGACGTCCTGTTTCAGAGGCCGTTCACTGACTGAAGAGACAGAAGGGGAGGCTTCAAGTATGAATTCGATAAAATCAATATTCCAGTCCAGAAATGAAAATATCGAAGTGCTTCTCTGCAGAAAAACCTTTAAAGACTCTTTTAAATGACATTTCTTCAATTCTAATCAATGCCAAGAGCTTCTGAGGGACTATGCCCCTCTGCGCAATCCCCATTAGATTCTACTAGAAGCCTGCATATAGCCTGCATATGTCTAGTTGTGGCTTAAAATTGATCTTTTGCCATGCACCCCCTCCCCCATTTGCCTTTGCTCAGACCCCCAAAGGCAGGGTCATTTCATACACCTGCTAAACTGGGAGGGTAAACCATGGTTACTGGGAAGCAGTACTTTTTCTATCTCTGGTTCATACCATTGCATCTTAACCTGTGGACATTTAAAATATCTAATCCAAGTATCCCTCATCTCCCTCAGATTAGAATGTCATCTTGCAGACGAGAAACCTCTAGTAAAATTCCACTTTACTATACACCAAGAGTGTAATTTCATGGACCTCAATATGTTGACACCAACACACAACTCCTGGAATTCAGTGTCCTGTTAGATGCTTTATGTGTAACAATAACGAGTGTTTTCATTGGAAACAGGGGGTCAAGTGCAGGCAGGTTGGTCTTATGGACTCGGGATTAACCTTTTGGCATCAGGATACCACCGACCTCAAGGCGGCCAACTTGGGAGTGGAATCTTCTCTCACCTCCATGGTCCAGTTGCTTACTCCTATTCACCAGATGCCACTGGTCGACTCCTTCTTGCCGACCTCCCTACTCCTTCCTACCAGCAATCGGGTTCCTTGTTCAGCCAGGTCATTCCACCATTGGATGCCTTCAATGACTCAACCGTCCATAAAATTTTGTCTTCAGACCTTAAAGCATTTACCCACCAGGTAGTTGAAGGTAGCCAAGTTTTGGCATGCCACAGTGACTTTTGCTGCCAGCTGAACATTGAAACTCCTGGAATTCTTGACCACTACAAGTTATTGGCCTTTGAGGGCTTCAGCAACATACAGAATAAGTATAAATGGTATTATCAAGTATGCTGTATGGTATATTGTAGCAGTGGAACACTTGAGTCTTGTAGCAAGCTTTCAGGTACTCCACCAGCAACAATCTTTGATGATATCCAAATTTCAGGGAATTTTGATACAGAATTTGTGTATCCCAGTGCAATAACACACGACTTCCAACTTCTCAAGATTTCCCAGGATGAGCCTACTTCTACATATCATCTGAGAGAAGTATCCAACCTCCTCAGCATGACTGTGTATGGTCGGGTGTACCAGAAAGATGGATGAAAGAATAAAACTATACAAAACTTCTTCACCATGTTTTATGACTAGGTGTAGTAACCATGGAAGACAATATCCAACTTGCCAGAGATCTGCCTTAAGAGTGAGACAAAACTAGAGACTCCCATTTTACCTGAGGAAATTTGGAAAGATGAAAAAAAAATAAAACTCTTGGAAGGTCCCTCACAGATCAGCAAACCAACAGGATTTGAGAGCAGATTCATGCTTGCCAATTCACCCAGCAACGGAGTCAGTTTTGGAATTTACATCATTGGTGATGCCATCCACACATTTCCAGAGTCCGTAAGTCTTGCCAACAGTTGTTTGCCAAAGCCTCAATGTCCCATCCTCACTTCCTGATGCATACAGCTCTCCATCTGGGGAGAACCTCACACAGTGGATTGGCCCAAAATGACCTTTGAAGGATTCTGGAACAGAGTAGTCACACAGGTGATGGCTACAGGTTTCATGTAGTACAAACCATAATTCCTGTAATTATAAACATGGAGAAAATTTTTGTATGGAAAAAGTTATTGATAAGCATATACTATACACATGGGCTTGAGAAAGAGCAAAGGGATGACTGCAACAACTGGCAAGACTGTATATTAACCCTTTCACTCCTGCATTTCTTGAATTCCCATTTAGAATTTTCGAGTATACTCAGGAGTGGGATTCAAAAGGTTAATGGTCAAGAGTTTTGGGATCACAATCAGCATAACCTTACTGTGACAACATCCCTAAAAATTAATGATTCAGTTGTCTTAATTTTAGAATATCTTGCAAATATGCCCTTATATGAGGGGCCCTCAATATGGTGTTTTTATGTTGACTTGCAATAATTCAACAGTTCTTGCATGTCAACATAAGAAAAAAATATTGAGATGATGAGCTCATACCACACTTTCTGATAGTACTCTCCTCCTTTCTTGATATAAAGTTTCATTAGTCTGAACCAGTTTTCAAATGTATTTTCCAGGTTTCTACATATAAGGCTAACAAGGCCTTGTTAACTGCTTATTTTAAATCCATTTCAAGCTCAAGCAATATTATCATTGTTTGAATAAATGCTTATATACCAGTACCTGTATTAATACCAACTTCATTAGTAAATCTGATTAAATTTAGGTATATTAGGCATGTTACAGCTTATCAATTCTTGATATTGTTTCATGTTAGTGTGACATGACATGCCATATACAGAAACGAAAGACAGGAAAAGTGAGACAATTTCTTCCATATAATCCTACCTACCTCAAGGTAAATGACAGATTTCTGAAGAAACCCATAATAAATGTCCCCAAAATAAATGGATAGCAGAATTCAACATGGCAAGACAGCCTAAGGTTTCCAAGAGATCAATTAAGTTTCCAGAAGGTCGAGGATTGGAATGTGGGATGCACTGCTCCAAAACTATGCAGATGAATTCCTCTGATGTCCTATGAACTCAATGGTTGGGTCCACTCAAGTATGTCCAGCTACTCTATTCAAAGGGGGGGGATACTGAAGGATAAGTTTGTGGACTTAAATACTTTACTTAATAATAATAAACTGCTTTCAAAGTGACCATCTCTAATATGTATGTCCCATACATATGGGAAAGGTTCCTGACCAGGGGTCAGGAACCTATCACTAATTTTGGGCTGGATTAAGACGGCTTGGCCCTGTGGTGGGTCGGAGTGTATAATTGATTGTGGTGCTGATCTGCCAGAAGGAGGGAGTATGAAGTTGTGAAAAGAATTAGCAAAATGTAAAATAAATTCTCTTTTCTTGGCGTGTTTGGTGGGTCCGATGAAATCACTTTGTGGGCCAAATCCGGCTTACAGACCATGGTTGCTGACCCCTGCTGTTGACTAAATAAACTCATCTCAGTCAATGGGAATCAGGAAGATCAATGGGAAAGGGTCCTCACCAACTTCTGAACCATCTGAGAAATTATACTTGTACATCTTGAAGTCTTCTCCTCCACAGACGAAAACAGTCCTTGCTGGATGGAGGGATGCTGAGTGCACGCGTGTTGGAATCCGAATCTCTCTCACTTTCTCAAACCTTTGGAAAAATAAAAGCAACTCATCATTGCAAATGGGGAGGCTGTTATCAACAGGAAGATAGAACATGATTATGAAGATGATGCACTGGGATAGCAGGGACAATATACAACTGAATTATTTCTAGCTGAAAGAGAAAATGATATGTCATAAAATGCATTTGAAAATGGTATATGTGATCCCTCAGATAGAGAAAGTCTGGACATATCATTACACCAGGTCATCAAGGTCTTATCTGGAAGTCAGGCAAACTATTAAGAAACAACTCCAAAATTCAGCACCCTCAGTTTCAGGAAAACGTTCACTGTTTATGCTTCAAGGTGAACCTACTTAAAAAGGTTCAATGCAATAGGAATTGCATTGCATGAAAATGTCTTTCAAGTAAATAGCTGCAAGGGAATTAGATTAATTTTCAGTTTCTAAGAAGTCAGATAGAATCTTATAGGGGAAAAACATTGAAAAAAAATTGAAACATGAAAGTAAAGTTTCTTAGTGGAGACAACTCAGAGCTCATTGTGATAAGGCATTTGGAGAACTTTTTCACCTCATGATTACCTTGATTAATACATTGAAAGATACAAGAACAGAATGCTTTTTCTTACAGAGTAACCAGACCATGCCTCTTCTATTCCAATTTATATTTGGGATAGCATATAACAAGGAATAAAGACCACAGAGCATTTTCCAGATTCCAGCATCCCCAGTGATAAAATGATACTGCTGTTGGAGTGTCATGAGCCCTTTACTAGATAAGGCCAAACCTTCATACAAATTGCACTGGAAGTGGAATAGGGTAGGTGATACTTTTACTTAATGCATAATCATCCAATTCAAAACCTGACAATATAAAGTTCTGAATCACTGCATGCATGAACCAATAATAGCATGAGGTAAAAGCTTGCCCATTACATGCTTATAAGCCAAATTGTGATACCCAAAAATGCATGAATAATAGACCTATTCAATGGGCAAGAAAGTCCATTTGCATGGGTCTTCCATTTTTAAAAACAATTATTCAATAACATACAAAATTCTGGGGTTGAGTTTCATCCCTCAGGGGTTTGATTTTTCAAGAGAATTTCACCTGAATTTTCTGGTAGCAATTTGTAATCTTACTCCAATCTAATCTCATCTTTGACTCCAATTAAGTTCCATGGCTGTATTTTCCCTTTTCTATGAGGCTTTACTTCAGCACTCTTCAATCAGCTTTCCCCTGCCCTTTCGTGAAGTCAGGTACCTACCTGGTCAGATACCTACATGTACATTCAAAGAGATGGTCTTACTTGGTTAAATCCCAGAAGGCAGCATGATTTCCATAAGTCAGAGTGAGGATCTGGCCATCTTGGGAGACCTCCATACTGCTTGGTGGATTTGGGAACTCCAATTGCCGGACCTCACGCCCACTTGAGAGATCCCAGAGGCGGACAGTGCAGTCATCCCCAGCACTGATCACCATACGTTGGTCTGGTAGAAACAGGGCTTGGCGAATGCTATCATCATGCCCTGAAAGCTCTGCAGGTTCTGTGCCAAGCAACAATACAAAGGAAAATGCATAATTACTAAAGCACATGCAATGATGCATCAGAATATATGGATAGAATGTTTATTAGATATAAACAAAAACCTTAATTAATGCAACTTTTTTTGGAATGTTCCAAGAAGAAATTCAGTGTGAAAGTGACAGAAATGGTCATGTAACATATAAATGAAAATATAATAACACCAACTCTTTGCAATGCTCAACATATTCTAAGAATAACAGAAATATGTATTTTTCATAATTACTCTTTACTGTGGAACAAAATAAAACTGGTTGCATTCATAGCACTCCAAATCCTGGTTGAACCTTAAGTACAACTTAATCCTTAAGTATAATCAACTTGAAGCCTTAATTGCCATTTACTCAAAACTTTCTTTAGGCATGCAGTTATCAACAGTCACCAATTTGGTTATTGATATTCCTTGCAGCTTTGTTCAAAGATATATATATCACCTTAAAGAGAAATGACATGTTTTCAGTGAGCTTAAGGGGATGAATATTTGCTAATTCAAATAGGAAAACTGACTTGTCAATGTAAGAGAGACCCTTGGTCTTATACAGTTGATGCCGCAATCATGGATTCAGCTCCAGGTTCTTCCTGAGGGGCTGGGAAAAATGTTAATGAATGAACAGCTCAATCTTACTTTTTTTTTTCAATTCATCTTTTTCATTGGCAAGCCTGGATATCTTCCACAAGATCCTTGCTATGTTGCAGGGGAGCATCACTTCATACAATGCTTCCTTCACTGTCCTTAATGATGCACATTGGACAAATACTCTTGTAAAACATCAGGAAGAATTCATGCTAATCCTCCCACCAATAGTTTTGAATGAAGTTTATCATTAGTGAAAAAACCTTTCACATGGTTTACAGAAATGTAAATAAATGTGTAAAGGGCAAAGTATTTGCATAATCTCATCAAAAAGTGTAACAAATCATTTTGAATTTAAGAAATTCATGACCAACAACTAATGGAAGAAAGAAATTCTGCACTATTTGCATTGATCCTCTTCTTCCTCCTGGAAACAGCCCACATAAGTGAAAAACTTTCATGAACTAAATGCACACTCAGTTCTAATACTGGGATAAACTGGGCCTGAAGGAGGACTAGAGATGGATTAACATGCAACTACTCGGCCGAGGAAACAGAAGCTTCTGGTACCTATGACCTAAGGCAAAATTAAATATACCAGAAGTGAATGAAAGAATCCTCACCAGCATCAATCTTGGTCAGGTCAAAAATTTTGATAATTTTCTCATTGGACCCAGTGAGAAGTTTACAGCCATCTTTGGAGAAATCCACACTCTTAACAATGTGCTTGTGGGTGAAGGTCTGGAGCTCTTCTCCAGATACGGCATCCCACAACTGAAAAAAGGAAAATAGTATAGGCAAGTCTCCTTCCTTATGCATGATACCTTGAGAGAGCTGCTATTTCATTTGCAATAGAACTATCATCAGCACATGATAGGAAAGATGCATACATACATGGATAATGTTGCTTCTAAACCAGACTGCTACTGGGGTGAAATGCCTTCTGTAAACCTATGCTGATTACTTCATTGCAGTCGGGCTATATTTTTGGATGCATGAGTTCATACTTCATTGAATCAAGCTGTATGACTGGTGCAGATTCAGCAATATGACTTCCTCTGTCTAATAAAAATTTACAGCCAATCTGAATCAATTTGCAAGAACCTTTTCCTATCCTATTTAAATTTTTCAATTTTATCCCAGGTTATTGGTAATTTGGTTAGTCTAATTTTAAAGTGGACAATTGTTTTTCTACTGTCAAGAGAATGAGTTCCAGATAATTCATTGTATAACAGCTGCACTTGAGAGAATTACGGAAAAGCAGAAAATTAAACTAAATAAAAAAACAATAGGCCTTGAAATCTTTTTAGAATTCTAAAAAGCTTTAGATATTCTTCCCTGCTTCCATGCCAAAACTGCCTTATTACTTGGCTAGTGAAGGATTTCCATGTCATTCTTGCATGGCTTTGCAATATTATCTCCTTTCTATTTTAGTTCCCTTTTGAGTCAATAACTCATCCATTACTATAATCATGTTTAGGTCTATTCTCTTCCTCTACTTGAGGGAACACGAGATTCCGATAACTCCAACTCTTGGCATATAGATGGATTTTGAATGCCTAGCTGACCTCCAATCAGGTTATCACAAGAAAATGCCTAATTTGCTAATATGAATAAAACACATATCTACCAAGAACAACAAAAATAAACTAGCCTTTGCAGTATAATCTGCAGCACCTGTTGCAGCACGTGTAGCCTCCCTGTTCAAGGACACACCCCAAACAGCACCTTTATGTCCTTCAAAAGTTCCAATCCAATCTCCAGTCTCTCCCTGACGTAGCATTGGCTTTCCATCTGTAAAAGCAATGCCAAGTGTGAGCCCACACCAGATATCACTTGGGTAGGATGCTAGCCCATCAATGCTGAATGGAGTGATTCATGGAAAGTACTGCAAAAATAAGCACAAGTTTACATCAAAGTAACTATAACATTTGAACAAAAATGTTATGGGTTGTTTGCCCAGGCTTCAGATCATTTCTAATACCTAACAGGTATTGCCTCACCATGCTAAATTATTCCAGTGATAGGGGCATATTGCTCTGTTGTGGCTTCTTTGCCTTACATTTTGGGAAAGAAAGAGCATTTCTTATACACCCTAAAAGTTCCCTCATATCTCCAAGGGTACCAAGGTAGTTTGGTAGTACCATGATGCAATAACATCCATTTGGATACCAGATGATATCTCCAGAAGATATAAACAAAGAGAACAAAATTGTGCGGTCAAAAGTACGGGCAGATACCCTATATGAAGTTTCCAATAGTTTTCGATTGAGTTCATCCTCCTCCTGAATAGTGCCACATGTTATGCAACTAGAGCGACATCTGTCTTTTTCGAAACAACTGACCCAGGCTATGTTACTGACTGAAGCGATGATCAAGTAGTTCCTGCTTCCATCACAGGGTGGTGGAGGGGTGGGTGAATTAAATTGAAAAATACATTATAGGCCTCGCTTCAGTATTTACCGCCATAGGCTTCTCCAGGGAGGGTGGGTTCGGGGAGTCACAACGTTCCTCAGCTCTTAATCAAAAAACCAAACCTAATCTAGGCCTGTTAAATGCGTATACCCAAGGCTAAGGCCAATTGAAAACACCTTTGCAAGCAGAGATGAGATAATATCCGTTTTCGGTGACGTCACTGAAGCATAGTTGAACAACAGGACGTGTATGCCCACTGCAAGTAAGTGGAGTTTGTCTTATGGTGGTCGCCATCTTCACCTGGGCGTACCGAAGAAAAGAAGCTGAATTACATAATAGAGACCTACGAGGTCCAACTTTTACGGACCCGGACTGACAGACCCGCACCTGATACGTAACCTGATTACCAACTGAAATACACGACCCGACCCGCTCCCGACCAGAGCTTAATCCTGAAGTCTAGACCCAATCCGAAACATGTAGTACCAGTATAGCCATTCTTAGTTTATGAAAGGGAATAAGACAGCGGAGCTCGGCCATGTAGGCAGCGGTGTAGGCGGCGGACCTGGATGAAGCGGCAATGCAAGAACGAAGGGGTGTCGAACTCCAAGAGTGAAAATTTTCTCTCGTGTCATACTTAGAAGAAAGCTTAGGAGACTTGAACCTGCTGGTTTACTGGTCACCTGCTTTGCAAGCATATGCTCGTCTCTCTTCTTCCGTGACATGAACAATTCCCCCCCCCCCCCCAGGAAAGATCACATTTCTCCCTGACATTATTCCATTTTCCCAGTTCGAGTTCAACTAAACCGAGATGGTAAATAGATTCCCGATGAACCTAGCCAAAAATCCTGTATTATTTAGCAGTGAAGCGATGGATGTCATGTCTTTCCCTCGAATGCGACATCGGAGGGGGGTGGGGGAGGCAATGTTGCTAGTTTGGGCTGGTGGGGGGGACATCGCGAATTTGTGCACTGTTTCGCAAGACACATTACATCTTGGCGGACTAGCTTCACAACAAATAGGAAACAGCTTTGATTGCAGATAAGTGCATGTGGAGGTCCTAGGTTGGCCATGAATGTTGACATAAAAAGTGATGCTGGGAGAACAAATCCAAAATGCTTCACGTGCAAAAAGTAGACAGCTTTATAGTCCTTTTTAGGATACTCCAACATTCTAATTTGTTTACGCATTTTTGTAATTTTATGAATATGGATATGCTAAAACTTTTTTGAGTGACTCAATATCAAGCCAAAAGCTTATCAAATCAATTGGAAAGACTAGAGTGAGAAGTGAGAGTAGTGTAGCCTGATAGAACCTGAAACCAATTGTTCTTCTAATCAGAAGGTAAGCATTTAAATATAATAATCAGTTTCATGTATAAAATGACTGATTGGCAGCCCTAAAGAAAAAGACTTGAATGTGAAATTAGCTGTCATGCACTTCGGATTTTTGCCAAATTTTGAATCGGATTCTCATTTTGGAACTTTCAGTCATTTGAGGAGACCTCTATGAATGCTGGTATATTAGGCTCTTGTTGAAAGGGGAAATATTATCATGCACTCTCTGCAACTTCTGCACCAGTCAGCTTCATTGCATGAACCAGAGAGTTGCTTGAAGAGCTACTGTCCCTAAAGAAAAGTTGACACTCTTGCAAAAAATTAGGAATAATAGAGGCAAATACAAGCCATTGGCAACCAGAGGTCACAGTGGCTTGGCTCTCTGAAGGCAGCACAGCAAGTATTAATAACTCAATGCATCACTAGTAACTTCTCAAGTGGGTCTTTGCGATCACAAATCCGAATCATGGAATAGACATCCAGAAAATCCTCCATGTCTGGGAACAAAACCATTAGTCATGTATCCAATATAATACGATAAAAAAGGAGAGAGGAAACCAGAGCTTTCAGAACTTCCTGGCACTCTGGCATTAAGCTTCAATAAACAGGCAATTCTGATAAATTCACAGCAATTTTTTTTTTATTCATTAAAAATTTTCACCAGAGAATATTGAACATCAAAGTAGGCCAATAACACAGGGACACCACATATTTCCTCAGGATTTTGAATCTTCAAGCTGGCCTGTTGAAAGTTCAGTCATCTTCCAATATTTAACTTTCTTCTTATCCAATTCATCTTGAGCCCATAGGATCAACTTGCAGATGACACTCAACTTAGAGGTCACATTTTCCTGATATTCATGTTTCAGAATGGCAGCATTCACCTCACTTGCAACCTGGAAGGGCAAAAAAGATCAAAACATGCAAAGAATAAAAAGTGACCATTAGGAAAGTCAGTAGATAATTCCAGCATGGGTCCCAATTACATGAAATAACACACACCTGTACTGGATGATCCAGAAAAATCAACTCCAATGTTACATGGAAATTTAGAGGGACTCAAATTCAACAAAGATAGGTAGGTGACTTCATGAAATTTTCAATTCAATCATAATTAAGAATGCAAGAGCTTTTTCCTTACAAGATATCAGAAGACTAAGTGTGCCAGCATGCAATATTTGTCTCCTTTCTCTGCACACAATTTCCCTACTTTAGCCTAGCAGAGCAAGCACATGCAGATACACTCACTCATTTGAAATGGCATGGAAGAAAGCTGAAAAGGGTTCTCTGAATGACCAATTACTCTCAAATTTTTGCCAAACCATCTAAACATGCAAGTTGTGTCGAAACCTGTGAGTTTCAGTCAATACCTCACATGGTGTTATGACTGCAGTCATTACAGGTTATGAACATTTTTTGGTCCACCTGGTAATACAAGTGGAGACTAAAACTAAGGATGAAACATGCCAAAATCCATTGAAGAAGTGCAACAGGTCTGTAACAAAGCTTGCATCTGTGATGAGTCAAGTTGGGTGAGGTATCTAAATGGGAATTCTCAACAGATGTTTTATTCTTTGGGAACGCCTCAAGTGATGTCAACAACCTCTGCTCTGCCATACTGTTGGCCAGTTGAAAATTCTGAATTCCACCCAACTCCACAATAGGTATTCCACAATAAAAGGAGCACCACTGCAACCTCAACACTCATTAAAACAGACTCCCAAAATACTGCTGGATAAATGCTAGCGTATTATTTTCTTCTATCAATGTTTCTTTCATCTGAAAACAGAAGAAAAATATTATCTTTCAACATGACTTTCTTCTCCAGGTGGAAAACTGTCTTCCACATGCCAACTTGCCATGAGTTGCAGGAGAAAAAAAAAAGGACACCATCTAAAGCTCACTGTACAGCCTTGCAAATCTGACAAGACTGAGTTGGAATTGATGGAATTAATTATGCTTGAGACATTGGACTAGCTCAAAACTCCTGGTCTGTGTATCTGTGCATGACATGAAAAGAGAGAGAAACTCATATCAGGTTTTACCATGTTAACTCTCTGTACAGGCTTACAGGGCATTGACATTAACTATCATCAATAACTTGGTTTTATTTAGTTGAATCCAATCTTCTGACTAAGCATAAGAGCCAAGATTTCAGCAGGTTGTTAAAATTCCTCTAAAAGCTCTCTTTCCTCCCAAGATGTGTTTACATACAGAAGATGGCAGAAAGGAAAAGCCTACTGTATCAAATCTGATGGGAGAATAAGTGAGACATACTTGTAGAGCCACCTGAACTTTCTGCTGTCACAACATCGTATCAGAGTAAAATAAAACTCCACAGACCTTTTGGCGATGTGCTGGATGCAACAGATCTGCAAATGGGGATGTCCCCGGTTGATCAAAAGCAAGTAAGGCCAATGTCCTCTCCAATTCTGGAAGGACAGATGGATCTTCTTCTCCTGTTTCAGCAAGGTGCTTTTGTGCAAATGCCAGTGCATCCTCAACACTACCCTTTCGTATCAATTCAATCAACTCTTGTTGCTGAAATAGGCAAATGAAAAGTCATTAATTACATATGATGAATCACAGAGTAATAGCAGTTATTCAATACACTCACAAGAAGGTGAAACCGAAGGAGTCTGTTGTCATCCAGAAGCTCAGGATGAAGCTGGTTAAGAAGTTCTCTGGCTTCCTGAAGATATCCATTCTGTATGGAATCTCTGACTCTGATACGGTCATCCATGCTCCCACTTAGGACTGGTGCTTTTATTCCTCCTTCAACCTGGAACTTCTCAGCTGCCTCCCTGAAGCCCTCTACAGCAGAAACATTACAATGGGTGTGTATTACTAGGGTGAAGAGCCACATCAATCATGTCTTCAACTTTGATGATTATTGTCATCAAAAAAATACATTTTTACCACCATGTTTCAAGTAACAGGAAAGGAAAAATACCCATAGGCCAAGGCTAACTTGTTAAGAGCGGATCCCCATGAACACTGGACCATGAGTACCAACCTGTTATGAGATAGTTCATGATGAGTTTGTTCATGTCTGAGCGACAGACATAGAATTTAGACAGCTCCTTCTCCCATGCTTCTCGTGAGAATTCCATCCCTTTCTCCACCCCATTCATGTCTTTTCCAGGTATGTTCCCACTCATTGTTTCATCTGGAAATTCAATCACATCATAACCTAATGTAGAAAGGCAGGACTGAGTCATTGATAACTTTAAATATTTGTTATATATTCAAAGGTTTCAACCTATTTACAAGTGAAGGATTGAGGTTGCCTTCCTCCTGATGCAAACTAACACCATACAGAAGGGGATCGATGTAAAATACACATATGAAGGAAGTGCCTTTACCTCCAAAGTTAGTAGAATTTTGAATTTACTCAACTTATTAATACAGTCATTCCTTATTATAATAAAGACTAAGGGATGAGATCAAGAATTTATTATGAGAAGGTTCTTCTATATTGAGAGATTTACTGTATCTCCAATATTCTATGCTCCAGCATTCAGTAGGGCGTGTGAGTAATTCCCTTAATGAAATAAAATCCTTTTTATAATACATTTTTGTTCTGATCCCCAGGGAGTTAATTATAATGAGATTCGATTATATTTTGTTGCATGACCCCTGGCTACAAGTAGCAGAGACACCTTTAGATGCTATCTAAATTATGAGCAAGTTCATTCTTTTCAGTGTTATCCATTTTTACTCTGATCAACCTGTGTAGTCTTCAAATGTGCTTTTTTCATTGATTGTAAAGGATGGCCCACCAACCACTCCACCCTGGAGATGATAAGAGTGTTTCAGGATATGGTACTTCATTGTCTTAACAACTCTTACATTCTGATAATGCAGTTAAACTCTCTCACCAAGGGTGAGGAGGCTATGGCATTACATGCTCATGTAAATGTAGGGAAACTACAGGATATCTCAGGGCTGCTTGTGTTTTGTCATTAGTATACATGGTGACAAGATAAATTGATTAGTAACTCAGAGAGGTGAGCAAAGATCAATGATCCCTGGTTATGTTTCCCTTGGTTTGTAAACTTAGTTTTGGCTTAGAATGAAAGTTTACTTGTTGATCAAGGTGACATGCTAGTGTAGTTGACTTGGATTCATTATTAGGAGTGGAATAAGAATTTTTTGAGTGGATACAACAGGGATTTATGGAGGCAATGATGGGGTGCATGCATTGAGCAGATGAATAAAGAGAATGGGGAATAGCAAGAGACTTTGTGTTAGAGCATGGGAAGTCAGCATAGTTTGTTTGTTTTTGGTTTTCAGAAAAGCCAAGGAAGCTGTTAAGAACAATTAGCAAGAGCCTCATAAAGATCATGGCACATAATGAGATGTGTAAGTCTGTAGCTGGGTCCCTGGATCAGTATGGCTGCTGCCATAGCAGGTGAGTGTATATAGATTCAAGAGCCATTACTTTAAATGTGGAATAAAGTGACCATGCTGATTTCATTCGCAAAAATTAGTGGTCAATATGTGATGTGGGAGGGTTACTTTTGCATTTCACTAGATTCCTCCCTTATAAGAGTCTGCCAGCAATCATTTACCTTAACAGAGAGGTGCATCTCAGCAATTACAGGTCATCTGACCTTGAATCTTTGTATACCAGTTCACTACACCATGGGGAGGATTACAGGTCCAATGTCACCATCTAATGGGGCTAACGCACACAGATTAGAATATGAGCTACAATAATCAGAAACATTCAAGACATCCACCATTTCCTGCAGTGATGGCATCCACCCAAGGAAACAGGTGACTGACAGCAGACTATAACATCAGAAGTGTAAAGGCAATGTTTTAAAAGGGCAATACACTGCATGGAAAGACTAACTCCTGGTAGTTCCACTATTGCAAGGAAGTGGGATGAGAGCCCATATAAGAAGTATTTATAGCCACAACCAAAAAATGCATGGTGCCCCTATAGGTAATGAAGTTAGATCCACCATCCTCCCTGCTGTGGAATTGGCTGCTTTACGAAAACTTAAGATGCATAGACGTTATGTCCTCTCTGTGCAGCAAAACTATATCACCCTGTATATACTCCTATGCAATCAGGAGACAGCCTCATATTACTTGGCTTCACTGTCTTCAATATGCCACGTTGAAGGTCGTTTAACGAGGATGTTTTATGTTAACGTTAGTTCTACTGGTACGAATTGGGTCAAACAACAGGCCTTAGCACGATGGCGGGAAATTCAGCTCTTAGGCCTAACTCTCCAGTTCTCTAGCGTGATACACTCTTTTAACATTAAGCAACAGGATCGACAAGCACTATCATCGACAAGCACTATCATGAGTTGAAATGAAGCAAACCCATGTTGAGCAAGCCAGAGAGAGCAGTGACCTCGTCCTCGTGCTCCGTGGTGGCCGCCGCCATGACTCGCAAGGCCTTGCACCACGCGCTATGTCAGACCGCATTTGTACCTCTCCTTCTGAAGGAGCGCATCCATCGATTGAAGGCTGTGACATCTCGCAGAAGGGCGGTTACTCGGATCATCTCGAGGAGAGGGCTCTCTAAAATTTGAGCCATCTCCATTCGAATGCAATACGAATTCAATCCTAAAACAATGAATGCGCTGATCTATCAGGCCATAGAGGCCCTACGCCCTTGAATGCAAATAATGAATACTACCTGATTCCATACGCCCTCGTAACATAAACCACATCCAAAATCCCCCCCCCCCCTATTAACCCCAAGTAACCATTAACCCCCGCGTAATCCCAGATCCTTTTATAATAAAAAAAAAAGGGTTCAAGTGACTTCATCAGAGACACGTTATCCGGATTCGACCTTCATCGACTTTCGTTTACATCCCGCAAGTGATGATGGGAATTCCAGCGCCCAAGGTCTCCTTCCTCGAACACACAGCCTTTACTTTAGAGTAAATGAGGGCCTTGGTTCATTTGGGACTTGGGCCCTGCATAGTCTAGCTAGGCACCGATACTTACTCTAGTGTTTCCTGTCCGTTATTTACATGTAGTCAGTCAGATTATAAGTTTTTTTTTGTCAGTGCATCCAGCAGTGCTCGACATGGCGCAATGAGATAAGCAAAGAAACAGACCAAAACGACCGTCCAACTCCCACGAAGCTACAATAATTCGTTAAAATCAACCATTTTAGTTGAATGTGAAAACTTTCGCTCGAGAATGCTACTCAGGCTCACGGTCGAGCGCATATCTGGAACCCTTCACATCCGTGTCACGAGAGCTCCGAACATTTTTTTTTTTTTTTTTTTTACCGCGGGACGCAATGACTGCGTGAGATTCAAGGTCATCCCGGCTTGGAAAAGAATTCATGCTTATCATTCTCTGCAGGCCACTCCTTCGCTGCCTCTCGTGAAGATCCCGTGCTCGCCCTGAACAGCCGGCAAAACCAGCTCCGGAACTCCATCAAGCAGCCTTTCTGCACGGGTCAGTACCTCTCTTTCTCTTTCCACGATCGCGTTTAGGTCGGGCGTATTCTTGTTCTGTGACGAACTCTGCATTCCTCTCATCATCGTTTTTGGGTTCCGCACTTCAGAAGAGTGACTTAAAAATGAATTCACACCATCTTCGTGGTGCGCTCCATAGACCTAATATAATTTCTATCATGGGAGATATACCCTCAACTAGGGTTGCCATGCGTCCGGTTTTACTGGTACAGTCCCGGTTTTTATTCCGGTTTTGGATGAAATTGCATCTGCATCCCGGTATTTTTCCCCCTCCCCGCATATTTTTGCTTGAATGCAAGAACATCATTGCTTTCACACCACAGCTCATAGCTGGGAAGATTCCAAGTTCTATGTGCTTTGATAACGACAGACTCTTCGATGAAACCACCTATTCGCGTAAAGTTTACGGAGACGAGAGACGGAAAACAGACAGCATAGACATTGGAAGGAAAGAAAACCAGATCGATGACAGTCTATTGGAATTTTGATAATGGGAGTCCAAAAACATGCAAACGGAACGATAGGGTACAAAAAAAAAAGAAAGCGACGTGGTACACTCCCAAGTCCCGCTCGAGAGCAGACGACGCAAACCCTCAGCTGATCGGCCGAAGGAGGCAGAAGCATTCGGTCGGGGAACGATGCCACGTGTGTTGCTCTCATGCTTCGTCGAGGGCTATCTCGTTTTCCCTTCCTTTATCTGCAAAAATTGTTTATACAAGATTTGTGGTCTAGAGTCGACCCTATCCTGCAGTATAAATATGGTAGCGATACGTCCACATGTAAGCGAGAACCTTACCTAATCACGTTTTAATAGGACTTTCATTCTTTCTTCTTCTGGGGGATGAGGCGACGTTCTTCTCTCCAGCATCTCGAAAATGGCTGGTCTCACTGAATATCTTTTATTGGAAAAAAAATTTGAGCTCAGATTCTTATCCTCGTCTTCGGTGTAAGTTTTGTAGATGTATTTACGTATTTATAGTCGAACTCGGTTTCAACGGTAGTGAAGGAACCAGAAAAAAAAAATGTTCGGAGCTCTCGTGACACGGATGTGAAGGGTTCCAGATATGCGCTCGACCGTGAGCCTGAGTAGCATTCTCGAGCGAAAGTTTTCACATTCAACTAAAATGGTTGATTTTAACGAACATCTACAAAACTTACACCGAAGACGAGGATAAGAATCTGAGCTCAAATTTTTTTTCCAATAAAAGATATTCAGTGAGACCAGCCATTTTCGAGATGCTGGAGAGAAGAACGTCGCCTCATCCCCCGGGAGAAGTTGTTGGAGGGAACGGAACGGTCTGAAGCCTCGGAGGAGAGGCAACGACGTACCCTCGCGTGAATGCGAACGCAGCGGTGCGAAGCGCATTCCGCAGGAGAGGATAGAATTCGGCTCCCAAATATTGCCCATGCTTCGCGAGGCAAGCCATTTTCAAGATGCTGCAGAGAGATGAACGTCGCGTCATCTCCCGGGAGAAGTGAGATTCGGGGAAGCTTCCCCGAATCTCACTTTTATGCGTTGGTCTGTTATTTACTGTCAGTTTTTCCATTATTTGTGAATCACTGGTCCACACAAAATTGTATCCATGAAGAAAAGTCCACATGAGATAAGTCCACAGAGGGAAATCCACTCTCCAAATCCTCCTGATGTCCCCCCTGTGGATATATTTTGGTCCACATAACATGTGGATGTCCACAGGGGA